ATGCTGTTTGGAAAGCGTGCCTTGAGAGCGTGTACGTGGGGTGGGGTAGTGTCTGTTGAGATTAAGTACCTGTTCAAGGTCCGACTTCGCCCTCGGAAAGCCTTGAGCCACCAACTGGTTTGGTCATGGTCAACACACCCCCCTGGCCATGAATCTCACCGCTCGACTCATGACTTAAAACACTTGCTGACCTGGAGAGATAGCAGTTCATATATCAGAAGGCGCAAAGCCTCGAAGGGCGTGGTCGCCTCCCCTTGGTCCTCTCATTCGGCCGTTGGCGCGCTAGACTCCAAGGCAGAAAGGGCTCCGATCTTCCTCCGATGCCCTTATGGATGGCGTGCTAAGCACGACCGGGCCAATCAAGCCGACCCTTTTTATGACTCGCGACGGCGACATTCCGTGAGAGTGTTGCCAAGCAGAGAGTGACTCAATCAGCGACAAGCATTTAACGTGTATACCATAGGCGGAGGCCTCTTGGCTGGACTGGGCGGCGGCCGTGATCGGCTGGATTGCCCGAGCTGATGATCTGCACGGTTGCTATTCTGGAACCGTTCCCAGCTCAAGCCATTGCGCTGCACCTTCGCGAGTTACTCGAACGGGGATCACAGGCGACTGGGTTCGCAGGACGGTGTGGATCGGACTTCTTAGCCGGACTTAGGGGGTGTTCGTATGAGGGGATCAAACTCTGATAAGCACAGAGCAGGCAACCCTCAACCTGCCTTTTAAAACTCGAGGCATATGAACCTCAAGGTGCAGTGTCAGCTTTCATGTGCAGTGGAGAAAGGCTCCTTACCAAGCATTATCTGTGACCTTCCAAGCCTTTTAAAGTAGACGATCATATCTTGTCACGGATCCACAATTCCGCGCAGGGGTGGATAAACGGTCAACCGTCGGGCATTAATTCGCTCGGAATATGCGGAAGCGCTCATGTTTTTGACCCAGTGCGCGTTTTTATCAGAGAAAATTCAGGAAAAATAGGCAGCAGAGCTTCGGGATGACGAGGTGGATGGCTGTTCTCACTGTACGGCGTCGAGATCCGATCCGGAAGGCACCATCTCAGCTTGAAGTGACTATGGGCAGCGTGATGATTGTCCTCCTAGTCGACAACAACATGGTATTTCTAGCATGGCTGAGTTGGACTTTAGCCCAAGTAAGCCCGCCGCAGAAACTGATTGACAGCTATCTAGCTTCTTAGCTGTTGTCTATTGTCCACGAAGGAAACGATCCACTGTAATCCCACCATATGCCTCCATCCAATGACTGCAGTCTTGTTTCCCCTCTTTCTGCTTAGTTTGCCCATGACTGTCATACCAGAACTTGCCAAAGAGCACAGACTCAATATGGTATGTCATCGAGACCTTCGGTTCATGGTTTCATGAAGCATGAAGGGTGGTATAGATTCTTTGACAATTTCATCAATGATGATTCATACCGCAAAGAATAGCAAGGTACACCAGATATCCCAGAGCCCTTAACACTGGAAACCCCTTGGTTAAGAAGTCGATGGGCTGGAATTCCCACTCGTCCAAGAGAGCATATTTTCTAAGAAGATACTCGGTTTGCAGATTTACAGAAGGATGAAGGCTAGCATACCACAGACAATCACAAAAAGAAGGCTTTCATTAAGCACGAGAACCATATAAAAAGACCACATCTACGAACGCAATCACAGAGACGAAGTGTCCACCTTCATTATCCAAGCAAACACACATGCAGCATAAGCAATTGTCTCCCAACTAGCCACCCAAAAGCCAACCTTGAAAAGATATAGATATCAATCAAAGCAGATCAGCAAACAGATCCAACTTATGGAAACACCAAAGAACGATTCGAAGAGGCTTACTTACCAGCTCCAGATTGATCCTCCTCTCTTCTTCACAGCCCACAAAGCACACAGATATAACAACAGTCATATTTCAGCAGCTACTCGAACCCACCACCTCCAAAGCAGGAGAATGGCTTACTCATCCGTGTTTGGAGTCCTGTGTCCCAGGCCCAACCTAACCACCCGTCCATAGGCCCTCGAGAACTTGCGAGTGAAAGTCTGGAGGTACGGCAAGCTCAAAGTTTTTTCCAGTCAGCCAAAAACCTGCTTGCGCTGTCACGAACAAAGGCTAGATCCGGCACAATTTACGAATAGAAAATAAAACCATTAGCACTCGGGGACAATGTTCGAGGTCACGTACCTGTCTCGATCTGGACCAGACTATACTTGCCTTATTCTTTCTGGGTCTTGAAGGTGGGAGGTGGGAGGTGGGAGGGTCTATCATGTTCTGAGGAAGAGAGGAGAGGAGAACAAGGGAGGAAAGGTGAGAGAAGACGATAGGAAGAGAAGGGGTAGGAAGAAGGGTAGGCGAAGGGTGGAAAGGATAGAAAGAAGGATGAGAAGAGGAGCAGATGAGCAAAGGAAGGATGAGAAAAGGAAGGATGAGAAAAGGAAGGATGAGCAGAAGAAAGAGGAGAAGATAGAAGATGCTAAGAGAAAGGATGAGAAGGAGGAAATAATGGTGGTGGAGGAGAACGAGAAAGAAAGGGAAGAAGATAGATGGGTTGGCAGGGAGTTGAGTGAAGAAGGAAAGAAGCTGTGAGGGAAGACCGACGAGAAAGCTGCTTTATGAACCCGAGGTACTCGACAAGATGATGTTGAAAAGTAAAAGGCCCGGCTGATGAGTTACTACCTAATGGGGAAGCAACGCTCATGGCGCCTCATTCACTTCAAAATTTCCTAAACAGGAAGTCACTATCAAGGTCACTCCCTCCACGGCCATGGACCGCTACCCACCACCTACTCCAAGTTGTACTCGTTACCTGGTACCGTGCCCTACTTAACCTATGCGGTATACACAGGAAGAGGATGCCATCCGCATTGGATAAACACTGAGAATGAAAAGAACATTTGTATCCGATGCATACACTGCCAGGATTGGACTTATCTCAACAATGAAGCTAGAAGACAGCGACGTGACCATGCAGGCAACAATCAGACAGGCCAACTCAATGAAGCAGTTTGAATCATTTTCTTGTATTCTCCGATCCCAAAAGGGATAATCCCGAAAGGGACAACACTGAAATTTAACAGAATATGGTATAAACCTCGTCAGAAATACGTCTTGAAGGAAAGACCTGCAACCACCTGCAGATCATCACCCCACTGCGAAGTGCTGGCAAGCCGGTTTGGAATATGTCTCCTCCCACAGGCAGTGCCTTGTACTGATCCTTTCCCTTTCCTTACCGCGCATCATCACAGAGCCCTTTTCCATTAATCCATAGCAAACAAGCGAACCCCCCGCGTTATGATATCATAAAGCCAAAGCGACATAAGCTAGCAGGCGCTTCAGACAACAAACTTGGCCTTGGCTCTCGTGCTGCCGCTGTGCGCGCTGTCTGTGTGTCCGGAGAACTCAACGGCATCCGCCTCCTTGAGACGGAGAACCTCCTTGAAGCGGCGACCGATGGCCTCGAGGATGTCCTTGCCCTGGGCGGGCGTACGGGTGTTGTTCTTGTCGCCCGGAATGGCCTTTCCAACGGTCCGTGTCCACAGACCCACACGGTAGAAGCCCTTGCGCACGTTCACAACAACGCCCATAACCTCGCTGTCGCCATCGTTCTCGAGAGTCTCGCCAATAGCCGCCAACTGAGCGTGCAGCCACAAGTCGTCAATGGGCACGGAGCGCTTGTCCTTGAAGGAATATGACCACTTTCCACCGTGCTTGTTCTGGGGGTCCTCCCACTCCGGTCTGACGCCCTTCTTGAAAAGGTGGTAGTCTGCTTTGAGGCCCAGTTCGGAGGTCGGCGTGATGTTGTTCTAATAAAACCAGTTAGCCAGGAAGATCTCACTTGGGGCACACACAGCACGCGGCATAACGTACGTAGATTCCCCAGAACTCCTCAACAGAGTTGAAAGTCACAACCTCCTTCAAAAGGTCGTTCCAGTTATCGCCCTACAACCACAAATGGGTCAGATGAATGTTGAACGCATTCGATAAAGTCGATCGGTCCCTTACCTTGCCACTAGGGGGCTTGGTAAACCAAAGGGTCCACTCGTGCATCAAAGGATGCTTGACGTTGAAGTTTTCGGGGTCGTGGAATACTGTGACCGAGTCACCGTTCGTCTTTTCGGTCTGCTCGGCGGCAGCGACGGGGGCAGCATTCTCGTCGGCCACGGGTGCGTGGCCGTTCTCAGCGACGGCGGCCATTATGGTAGAGGGAGTATGAGGTGAGGTATAAGTCAAGGTGGATGAAGAGGGTTGAGCGGCGGGGTCGGGTTGATGAAGAGGCGAGGGGTCGTCGTCGGAGGGGAGAGAAAACTGCGGATGGCAAAATTTGTTGTTGTGATGAGAGGGCGTCAAAGGAAGGCGCAGCTCGAGGTAAGAGGTGTTTTCGGGGTAGGCAGGGAAGACGCGCAAGTGGTTGAATCAGAGTTGAGCGTCTGCTCCAGGCAGAATCACGGCGAATGTCGTGTTCGAGACTGTATGGGGAAGATGGCGGAAAATCACAGCATCAAGTTTTGATGGTTTGGAGATGCCGCAAGGTCGGGACCAGAGTGAAACTTTTCCCTTTTGGGCCACCCTCCCTTCCAGACCTCTAATAGGCTGCCGCCGCCTAACCCAGCCCTAATGAAGATGTCTGACAGAGAAGTGAGGTAGGTAAGAGTCAACTCTCCGCAAACCATAAAGAGGGGGTTTTATTTTACCATTCGGTCAGTCTAGGGCTTCGTAGTATTCTATTTTTCCTTCTTTGCGAGGCTTTAACCTCACTTCGTACGCACAAATCCACAGGCTAAAAAGAGCCAACGAGCCTGATGATAGACGCCTGCGAAGTTTGAATATGGACAGGCAGCGTTCTCTGCCCCCAATATGTGTAAACAAAATATAACTTTCATTTCTATTCGGTGAAGGTTGGCCTCGACACACATGTTCAAGCAGATGTGAAAAAATAAGTACTACTGAACAAAACCAGGTATCAGAGTCTCTAAGGAACCGAGTATCAAATGTAGTGTGATGAATTCGAAGGGTATCTATAATTTAGTGCTAATCAAGAGAGGTCTGGGTCTAATCATTTCTCGCCGCTATTGATCAAGCTCAACAAGCAGTTCCAGCCTATTGTTCTGGTCAGTTGTTGCTCAGTTGTTGCTCAGTCCGAGATAGCACACTACTTACCCAAGCTGACCAGGTTCACGACCAGGACACGGTACTCCAGGGGCACGATAGCAAAGTTGACACCTTGGACCATCGGCCAGATCGTAAGATTCGCTTTGTAACTGGGCACAAAGCTGCTGCGCAATTTCTCCATTGGGTCAGAGCCTTCCAAGATTGCCATGGACGACAAGAAACAGGTCAGGTGAGTGGGTGTGAAGAGTAGCTGATCGGCAGCGACACGAGCGGCGGTGGTAGTAATAGGGTTCTTAAGAACAACATGGCGTTGTAGAATACCATACCAGGCCGTGGCAGCCGGGCCGAAGATTGCTTGGGACTATTAGCAAAGGAACCTGTTACAAGGCAGCAACGCCTGAAGTCAATTGAACTTACCACCTCCATACAGCGCCATGCGCGCAGTTCGTGCCACATCGTGCTTATCGAAGCCTCGGCGATCAACTAGCTGCTGAGCAAGGACATCTCCACTGCCAAACAACACCTGAATTGTCAATGGAGTCAGCTAAGTCGAGAAGAAAGCAAGTAATTGAAACTGCTAGAGGCGAAACAAGACAGGGAAAACATACAAAGCTAGTGACACTGGCTGTCAGGATGGGCTGTTTGGCCAGCTTCGTTTGGTACCTGAAGCGGATAAGTCAGTACAAGAGGTACATGAATGACCGAATCCTCAGTGTCAGATCGACATACCACCGCAACATCTTTGTCTAAATTGTGATGAAGAGGTTTTCAAGTAGATACAAAGAAATGAATTGACTGGAAAAGATGTATGCAGCCAACAAACGAGATGCTGAAGAAGAAACAGAAGAAGATTGCTGGCATAGACTCAGGGAGCAATGATTGCAGGTATAAGTATCTGGTCCCAGACCGCTGATAAGGGAACAGGAACAACAACCGTCAGACAGCTCCAACACCTAATCCACCCCCAGGGTAAAAACAAAGCAAATGCGCGACAATCCACGCCACTCTGGGCGGCTATTGGAGAGCAGCAGCTCCCGACGGGGTAACCCACTTATCACATGATGTACCCGGACGGGGCTCCGATCGGGTTGCCCAAAACGGCTTATCACGTAGGGTATAGGGCTCCGGGCTCGCTTAGCGCACCCGCCCGCGAAATTTCCCTTGGTGCCAAAACAGTTGTGGATAGCGAGAGAAAAGTCAACTCGACGTCGACAACCCCTCCCACGACACCTCCTCTCGCCCCTCCGACCCTTTCCCAATCGCCATATCTATACAACATGGCTGACGCCGCTCCCCGTGGACGTGGAGGATTCGGATCTCGCGGTGACCGCGGTGGTGACCGTGGCCGTGGCCGTGGCCGCCGTGGACGTCGTGGTGGCGCGAAGGAGCAGGAGAAGGAATGGCAGCCCGTCACCAAGCTCGGCCGTCTCGTCAAGGCTGGCAAGATCACCAGCATGGAGCAGATCTACCTGCACTCCCTGCCCGTCAAGGAGTACCAGATTGTGGACTTCTTCCTCCCCAAGCTCAAGGATGAGGTCATGAAGGTACGAAGCGAACGTTCAATCAAAATCACCCGGAACATCGACAAGGAAGATCTTCGAATCGGCGCATGTGCTAGGAACCGGGCGCGCAGGTGGATTGGATGCGGGATTCGGAATTGGACAATGTCGAACGGGAATTGCTGCGGAATGGTCAGGTGCTGACGGTCATTCTTCTTTTTTTTTTCGCAGATCAAACCCGTCCAGAAGCAGACCCGTGCCGGTCAGCGTACCCGCTTCAAGGCTGTCGTTGTCATCGGTGACTCCGAGGGCCACATCGGTCTCGGTATCAAGACCTCCAAGGAAGTCGCTACCGCCATCCGTGCCGCCATCACCATCGCCAAGCTGAGCGTTCTCCCCGTCCGTCGCGGTTACTGGGGTACCAACCTCGGTGAGCCTCACTCTCTGCCCGTTAAGCAGAGCGCCAAGTGTGGTTCCGTCTCCGTCAGAGTATGTCGTCATCTCGCCAGTTCGACTCAAAGCCACCCGTTGACTAACATGATCCCAGCTTATCCCCGCTCCCCGCGGTACCGGTCTCGTTGCCTCCCCCGCCGTCAAGCGTCTCCTCCAGCTTGCTGGTGTCCAGGACGCCTACACCTGCTCTTCCGGCTCCACCAAGACCCTCGAGAACACTCTCAAGGCCACTTTCCTTGCCGTCGTCAACACCTACGGCTTCCTCACCCCCAACCTCTGGAAGGAGACTAAGCTCATCCGCAGCCCTCTTGAGGAGTTCGGTGATGTCCTGCGCCAGGGCAAGAAGTACTAGGGTAGTGCTTTGATGGGATAAACTTTGCATGATTGTGTTTTGAATCGAACTATTTTTCTACGGACTTCAAAAAGTTGCTCTTTGGCTGTAGGATCGGAATACTGCACAGATTACGACTTCCGCGCCTATCTACGCTAATTAACGGTGTCAACGGATGTAATGATTATAAGGAGGAGCTTCGAGAACTTAGCGCAAGGTCAATTTAACCTCCATTTTCGCCAGTGACTACCGGGCGGTTGATATGGTACGGTGCGCCCGTCGTCTAATCTGTGTGTACTTCTACCTCGGTCTCGATTTCGAACACAAGCATTCAAGTGCGGAGTAGTTATAAAATAGGGTAAAAGAACGCCTTTCGAGGGCTAGATCTGGTTTGACGGTCCCTGACTGCTTCTTGCTAGGGAGTGACCCTGCGCCATCTGGTGTCAATGCCCATGTGCTGCAGAGGCCCATTCATTTAATCAGCCCAGAACTAGGGCGAATAAGGTTGTCATCTAAGCTTGATCCACATGAGAGGTTCAGACGCATTGTCCGTACTCGGACTCAAGTTTCCCTCCCGCTCGCCTCGGAGCACTATCGGTGATAGTCATATATGTTCTTGAAGTTTCGTATCCAGCTTCTATTCTCAATGAGTAACTTCTATGTTTCTACCAGTTCTAGAGAAAGGGTGTTCTCCTCACGCCAGAAATGTAAATACACCGTCAATCCGGATGTTGTACATCAAAGCATCATATGGAATATCATCAGCCAGTCGATCTAACAGCCAGACGCAAGGCCAAAACGAGGACTATTGTCAAGCCCTTCCGATTGACTACTACCCAATAATTCCTTGGATAATCCCTAGCCTACTGTCTTCCGCATGTTCAGTGGAACTTTAGCTCGTGAGGAAACATAGATCATGAGAGCACTTGTCAAACCCTCCCCGGAGATCATCTGCTTCCCCGATCTCCGAGAAAATTCACTCACGAGGTTGGCTTCGAGGAGGACTTTGCAAGTAAAACCTATATTCCCTATTGACAAACGAGCAAAGTTACCAGCTTATCAATCTTTCACTGCCGGTTGAACTCTCCGCGCTGCTGTTGGCGCACTTTACATCACAGACTGCTTATCCGCTCCAAAGATCCTCGCGCCTAGAAGCGCTGTCAATTGTGTGGTCCTTCCTCGCTTGACAAAAGGGTGATAAGGAGATATGACGACCGGAAATGCTCGAGTAATGCCTGGCCTTGATTGGCTATCGGCCGCGGGTTCAAATTGAAGTACCTATCCCTAGATATAACATATATCAAGGTCACTGGTGGACTGTACTTATGGAAATTTGCCGAAGATATATTTCTGAATGGCGGGGATGACCAGTCACATGACCCTTCCAATTGTGAGTCTCCCGCACGGTCGCTCACTGTATCTCAAACCATAACTTTATTCCAGCTTTTGAGTTACCTATGAGTTCTGAATGACCCAAGCCTATGTAATTAGAGTGCGCCGCGAGGTTGTAGTATGTCTGCTCTTGTGCATGCTGAAGAAGATGGCACAAAGGTATCTTCCGCTACGTCTAGGCTCGAGCACTGGCAACAAACTGTGGAGCCATAGCCACATCCCCACATATTCTGGTCCTAGCGTTCGAGGTTTGCTCTGCTCTCCAACCTCATTCGACCAATCATTCAGGCGAGCTAATCTTGAACCCTGGTTGAAGCTTACATGCAATCTACTGTGTAGGTAAGGTCGTGTCAGCAGGGGTGGCTGGTGCAGAGCAGGATATTACCTGGAATACCATAGGTCATCTCAGTATGGCAACAATGACTTTTGTCAGTGCCAATGAGACTTCATGTCTGAAAAACATGTGAATCTGGCAGGCATCTGGGTAAATAATGATCCGATAGACTAGGGGGGGAGCGGGAATGTTGTGCTCGCTCGTGGGGTAAATCATTCCGGGAACTTCTAGGAACAATAGCTATTGTTCCCGCTTGTTCCTCCTCCCTTCACCTGCATATATCCGACGCTGTACAGGCATCAAGGGCTCGCAGCAGAGGGACATCAACAAGGCTACGATGATCTGGTCCACGGTCATCCTCGGCCTCCTCGGCCTGCTCGGCCTGTACCTGGCTGACCGTCTGCGGGATCTCTTCAAGCAGGTCCGCGTCGCGCAGCGCTCGGGACTTCCGTATGTGGTGTCTGTCTTCTCCCCGAGCATCATCTCCATGGCCTTTCTCGATACGCCCTGGTTCTCCTATCTGGTCGAAAACTGGTTTCCCGCTCGACTGGCAGATACGGTCTACGATACCCTGATCAATTTCCGCTGGAGGGCCAAAGATCGACAGGCAAGAAGATATGGCGATGTGTATTTGCTTGTCTTCCCGGGAGGCATCTTCTGCAGCGTCTCCGATGCGGCGGTGGTTTCCCAGATCGTCAACTCTCGGCAAAGCTTTACGAAGCCAATCCATCAGTATAGTGAGTACTTCTTTCTCCCTTGTCGATCACTTCCTCTTGGGCATGGGCTCACGGGGCCGATGCCCTCTCAGCGGTGCTGGACATGTACGGACCGAACGTCGTCACGGTGAGTACGATCCTACCCTTTGGCACACATCATGCCCATGCTTATCCAAACAGTGTGAGGATGCAGAATGGGCGCATCACCGTCGATATACGGCAACAACGTTCAACGAAAGAAACAATGCTCTGGTGTGGGAGCAAGCTATAAAGCAGAGTCAACAGCTGATCGAGTACTGGCACGAATCACAACCGAACGAGCCCAGTGACACTTTTGTGGCGACCGATACGAGACAGGACACCCTCAAGTTCAGTCTCAACGTCCTGACCGGTGCCGGATTCGGTGTAGATCTGCCGTTCAAGCCTCTGCCCCAGAATATACTCAAGAGCCCAGATGACATCTTCAAGGACAGCACTCCGCCCCCGGCTGGGTTCGACTTCACATTCCGGTCCGTGATGTCCTATATGAACGAGAAGATCACCACAGTTGCGATTGCCAACAACTTGCTACCTAAGTGGATTCCGAGAGCGCTCGTCCCGTTCTTCAAGCAAGACTTTGCGGCGCATCGGAACCTAGAGATGTATCTGCAGAGGTTAGTCGACAAAACGGAGCGGGAGTTGGAAGAAACAGACAAAGCACACCACCTGGTACAAGGAATGCTTAAGCCTCGGAAGACACAGGACCAAGAGACCTTGACTGACCGCGAGGTCATCAGCAATCTGCACATTATCACCATTGCTGGGCACGAGACCACGGCAACCACTCTGCGATTCGTGTTCCTGCTTCTGGCTCTGCACCCGGACGTTCAAGAATGGATGTATGAAGGTCTGGCGGCGGCAATCAAGGGGGAGTCCGCGGACGCTGGGATCTGGGACTATGGTACTGTGTTCCCTAAGCTGGTTACTCCTTTATGTGTCATGGTGCGTACAGTTTCATGTCTGGCTCTTTGCCGCGGATAGCATTACTGATCTGCACTTAGCTTGAGACCATGCGTCTCTACCCGCCCGTCATAACGGTCCCGAAGTGGACTGGCGACGCAGCAAGGACGATCCATTATCACGAGAAGGACTACGTTTTGGAGCCTGGCGTGAACATCAATCTAAACGTAAGCAGTCTTCACTACTCGGAAAAGTACTGGGGAAGCGACGTCGGACTTTTCCGCCCACAGCGCTGGGACGTGCGGAATGGGGAGAGCTTTCTAGCCAAGAACGCGGGCCTACCCGGTGTTTCTGCACCAGGGTTGGAGTATCCTACCATTCATAAACCGGTCCGGGGCGCTTACATCCCGTTCAGCGATGGCATGCGCGCGTGCCTGGGGAAGAAGTTTGCGCAGGTCGAGTTTGTGGTTGCGTTGGCCGTAATCTTCAAAGACTATCGAGTTGAGCTGGCAGACGATAGCAAGGAAGGAGTTGAGGAGGCCGAGAGGGCATTACGGGAAAGCACTTCGATCCTAACACTGGCTTTGAGAAAAAACATACCGCTGCGCTTTCGTAAGCGTTAGTGACGTTGCAGGGATCCTGTAATGACTGGCCCTTCTGTTTCAGAACCATCTCATTCAGAGAACGGGGCATGACAAAGACACGCCCGCAGGCAATGGAATTCTCTCTTGTCCGCAACGTCAAGGATAAGCATTTGTATGCAGTGGCTCCTTTCTCCCCTTTCCGGCTCTTTGTATTCCCTCCAAAATGGCATTTGGGAGCATGTGTTCTTTCACTAAGCAAGCTATCACCAAAGAAAAGAAACATACTATGAGAAGGGGGATGAAGCCCCACAGCTCCACTCGACCAGAGACAAACAACACACCCTCAACATGGCTCTGTGTGTTCCACGCTGTGTGTTAGTCGTCCATTGCGTTGTTTCCAGGTGCCATATTTCACTGCGCTTTTCCCCAACTTTCACCCAGCTAGCTTGCGCTGCCTTTCACAACTCACCTATTCCCTCTAAGCTTTACCCTTTGAGAACGTGCAATTTCCCAAGCAATAGTTCACCTCGCTTAAATCCCACCTGGCCAACGCAATGAAAGAACACGCAGCACACTGGCAGCGCACACTGCTAGGCGCGGAGATCTGGAACGACGTGGAGACGCGGAACCAGCCTGCCAACGACCTCATTGATACGGGTCAGTAACGCGGGTCTCTTTGCTGAAAACCAACCTATAATCTTTGGGATGCTCGTTTCACACAGCTACTAACATGCTCTGAGGACTCTCTCTCTCTCTCCAGTGCACGACCAAACCCTCCACACCCGTTTCCCGTTCAACCTTGTCCGTGAGGAAACCAGCCGTGCCCGGTCACTTACTGCTGGAGCTGGAGCTGGTGACGGAGCTGGTGCCGGTGCTCCTTCCCCCGACGTGGTTGACAGCAACAACACTACTTCTCCCGACAAGCCGCGGCGCCGTCGCCGCTACAGCATGAGCGACGTCTTCACCAGAATCACCGCATCAAGCACCGCAGAGCTGACACTGACCATGGCCGGATCACGCAAGGCAGAGCGTGCGAAGCGTTCGCGCTCCGAGAGCCGGAGCTCCCAGCAGCAGTCAGCGCAGCAGCCATTCAGCCGCTCCTCCAGCACAGCGTCCAACAGGAACAACCAAAGCACCACCTCGCTCCTTCGCTCTGCACTCAATCTTATGAGCCGTAAGAGAATGGAGTCCGGCGAGGAGCAGATGCCGATGCCGGTGTCCGCGGAAACTGCAGCAGCCGGGGAAGTCAGACACCATCCCCATCCTCAACATCAACAGCATGCACGGCAACCCCAGCTACAACGTCCACCCATCAACCTCTTCACAGCCGAGCAAGCGACCCCGACCAACCCGCTCCTGGAATTCCGCGGCGGCGAGACCTGGGCTCGTTTCCCGCAGAACCGACGTTCGTTAGGGATCGATGTCTACTTGCCTATTAACACATCATCTACCACCACCGCTGCAGCAGAGTCCACCGCGCAGACGGAAGACCAGAACAACGGAGAGGCAAAACAGGAGGAAGAAGACGAAGACGAAGAAGTAGAGGAGCAAGTCGAGATCCTCGCGCTGGAGCAACTCTTCCCGCTCATCCACTTCCGCCACCTCCGCTCCCTCAAGATCACAGGCATGGTGCAGTCGTACCAGAAGTACATCTGGCAAGCGGCGTGGCTGAACACGGGCCTCGAGGAGCTGGAGCTCAGCATGGTCTGCCAGCCGCGCCTCCGCCGGTCCTTTACCGGGATCTGGCCATGCATCAAGGGCGGCTGGACGATGAATCCCACCCATTACAGTGCCCCTGTCTACTAGTAAGATGCCTCCCCCCTCCCATAACCCCAATGCCCAAGCACCATCCCCAATCCCCTTACCCCTTACCCCAAAAAACCAACTAACCGATCAAACCAGCGGCACCGGCGCCGGCACCCTCCCCCGCACCATCGGCGAAGGCGAATACCTGGACAAACTAGCCCTGGAGAAAGCCAAGGTCTGCGCGATGGTGCAGGGCCCCACGCGCAACCGGCTCTCGCTCCGCACCCTGACGCTGACGGGCTTCGTCGTCGACGCCGACCCCATCCTGCTTTGGTTCGACCCCACGCGGCTCAAGTGCCTGCACTTTAAGGACTTCTGCGTCGACGCCGGGTTTTATCTCTGCGAGGCCATGCACCGCGTCTCCGTGCTGTTCCCCCGCCTGCTGGTGCAAGAGGGGGAAGAGGCCGTCGTCGCGCGCCGCGTGAATCTGCGGAAGGAGCTGAAGGTTGTGCAGCTGCGGGGCGGACGGAAGGCCGGGGAGATGCCGTATACTGGGCCGAAGTGTTTGCGGGAGGTGGTTCCGGAGGGGCGGGAGGGGCGGGAGGGGCGGGAGGGGGCTGAGGAAGACGGGGTTGGGGTTGGTGATGCTCCTGCTCCTATCGCTGCTCCTGCCGAGTAAGTGTAAAGGATCAGAAACGAAGAACTAGGACTAGGACTGCTCGGCGATGCATTTCTGGCAAGTCAACACCTTGATTTCTTTCCCGAGCGAGCGGGAGTCAGTATTCTTGGGGGCGTTTCTTCTGGTGGTCAGCTGTGTTCCTGCTCACAGTCCTTCATTTTCAGCAAAATTCGCTGACGATTCTCTTTTACTTTCCTATGAATTGGCTTGGCGCAAAAAAGGTGGCGAGTTACGAAAATAGCATGGATCCCGGATGGACGAGTCTAAAGATTGGTAATGTCTAATGGTGCGAATACTGGGTTTAATGGCAATAGGGGAGCTGGAATGTGTAATCATAGTGAGAATGTAATTTGGAAACCATAATGAAAATGTAATCAATCTCGAAATCAAAAAAAAAAAAAAGATAGGATCAGTAATCTGTCACTCTTCACACATGATGAAGTCCCCCAAGTTGGTCATACTGTAAGGGTAAGAATGCGCGGGTGGAGAATGTATAAAAAGATATTGATATCAACCTCACTGGTACAGCATTGATTAAACTTGATTACAATCGGTTGTCTTGGTTTGATTATTTCCACAGCTCAACCCCCAATTGCGAACGACAACGGTCATAAAACATACAGATTGTTCGTTCCTTCGCTGTCCGATGCGCATGGTAGCAGCATACTAACCCGTTCCATACTTCGATCCTCCGTCCACAATATTAGAACTACAAGTTTCAGAAACACAAATAGATCCGTTACGTCGTAATGCCAGGCGGATGCGCCCAGCGTTCAGTCATATCGAACGCCTCCTGGTCTCACTGCCTCCCGACCTTTAAACCCCCAGCGGAACTTCCATCAACACTTGTCACTCTTCTCGAGAGACATACAACTCTGACGCAATTTAAGCTCCGTTATCCTCACCGATACGGATGGCGCCCTCGTTGCCGATACCGTTGGACCAGAAACCGTCCACGTTGAGAGTGCTGCCGTTCATAATTAGCTCTTGAACATACAGGGAAAGATGGCAAGCACTTACATTCCCGGAGCGCTGTCGTGAGCAATGATCAGCCAATATCCGATCAGCCCCTGGGAGAAGATATCGTAGATGGCAAAGAGAATAGTCTCCACATCGACATTGATCTTCAGAGCCAAAACGCCTGCGGCGATGGTGCTACACGCATTCGTTATTAGCATGCACTTTCGTCACAAGACCTAGACCTCGTAGCACTTACACAGGGAACAGGACCTTCACCAACAGAGTCACGCCGGAGATGGTTCCAAAGAACTTGCGGGTCTGGTTATCCTTGTTGCTGGCGGCGCGGGCCCCGTTCACGCTGATGTGGTACACGGTCGTCAGGTACCCGATGGCACTGAGGGTGAACCAGACCCAACGGCGCGAGGTGTGGCCGGCGAAGGTGCCCAGCAGACCCGAGCCCAGCATGACGAAGTCGGCGGCGATGGCCACCAGCAGGTGAGCTCCGGGAAGACCGGACAGCAGACTCAAGCTAATCAGGCTGAGCGGCTCGGTCAGGAACCACAGCACGTAGCGCAACCACAGCACCTGGCGGAAGTAGTCCTGGTGCGTGTTGGGCACATGCTTGTTGTGCAGTTTGACGGTGTCGACTTTCCAGGTGATGCCGCCACCGGTGGCGAGGGCGAGATAGATGATGAAGGAGATGGTGGCGGAGAGGGAGACGAGGGTGTGGAAGACGCGCTTGCTCTGTTTTGTTTGGTAAGGAGTTAGCGAGTGAATGAGATAACTTGGCGGATGTCGAAAGGGCAGGTGGATACTTAGGGGTTGAGGTGGTTAAAGAACTTACCAGTGGCACACGAGCTCCCAAGACGTAGAAGACCAGGGAGGAAAGGGCCATGAGCACGGTGACAACCCTGTTCTTGTTAGAAGCTGAGCTTGGAGCCACTATATGAGGATGACCAACCATAATGTGCGTTTGCCAGTATCGTGGATCTCCTGGAAAATGGGCTCACTGCCCGGGACGACGGTGGGAATGGGCGCCACAGTCGAGGTGGAAGTGACCCCGGGAATAGTCTCCTTGAGGAAGGTCTCGATCATCGTGAGGACGTTTAGCAGCTGGCAGTCTGACGATGATGATGATGATGTTGTTGTTGTTGGTGATGTTGGATGGAGAGCGATAAGTGATGGTTATCGATAAGAGGATGCGGGGGATAAAGAGGCAGGGAGAAGGAAGGCGGCGGTTCTATACGTTATATACGAGGAAGCAGCAGTCCAGCACCAGCCCTTTTTGCTTTCCTTTCCTGAGACCATTCAGTGCAAGCAGCAGTCGTCATGCTGACCTCGCTGCTGTCGTCATGGAAGTCGAGGTTTGAAGAAGGAATCCAATCAGAAAGGAATAACCGGGAGGGGGAAAGGTGTCACAGAGAACCTTGGAAGTTCATCCTTTAATCAGCAGAGCTCCGACTCTCCGACTGGTGGCTCCAAGGATGTTGCCTGATTCATGTTACCAATCGTTGACAGCTACGGTTTAACTGATTGCAGTTACTCGTGATGGTCATGACGTTATGCCCCTCACCACCAATAAGCGCTGCAGGATTTCCCGCAAGACCGATCTAGAATCGTCCGCTGTAATTTACATAAGGTATGAGGACTAACTACCTGATGTGTACGATTTGGAGCAGGATGCTAAAATTAAAACTACAATAACTTATAATACAGGAATCCACTGCAGGAATCCGGGAATCTAGGAATCCGGGACTTGATCAAGGAACTCACCACTCACACTTCGACAGTCGCAGCTGCAGCTGCAGCGTCCAGTTCTTGCACGACTCCCTCGCAGCGACCGCACACCGTCTCTTCCGCCGCGTCACTCTCCGCAACCACATAGCGCCAGCACCGAGGGCATTTACCCGCCTGCGGACTGTACACATACACCGTTCCCTTGGCTCCGCTGGGGAGCTCATATCCCTCACTGTACTGCCATTCCGCCTGCGCGATCGACTCGGGGATCGGCTCCCCATGAGCACCGAGGCTGACGGACGACACCACAAAGAAATCGGGCAATTCGGTCAGATCCCGGTGGAACACCGACGCGGGCGTCGCGTCCTCGGGAAGAACAATGTGCACAAACGACTGGAGAGAGGAGCCCAACTGCTTCTGGCCGCGGGCCTTTTCCTGGATCGCCTTGACCACGGAGTTGACAACGACAAGCTCCTGATAGTCGGATTCAAGACCCACGTTCTGCCATTCCGCAGCCGGGGCTGAGACAACGCGCTGCAGAGGATGCTGGCTCTGCGTCTTGATCGCTTCGGGGGTGTGCTCCCACGTCTCCTCCACAAGCATGGGGGTGATGGGCGCCAGAACTTCCTGGAGATGTCGGTAGATGTGGAACAGCGTCGTCTGCGCAGCACGCCGGCTCGCGCTGTTCTCGCCGTAGGTGTAGAGACGATCCTTGATAGCCTCCATGTAGAAGGCAGAGAACTCCTGATTGGCCCAGCGGTTGATCGCATTCACGGCCCTGTAGAATTCAAAGTTCTGGCCGGCCTTCTGGCAGCTCAAAACCATCTCAGACAACTGCTTCAGGGCGATGCGGTCCACTTGTAGCAGCTCATCGTATGGAACACAATGCTCGGGGCGGAAATCAGCCAAAGCACCCAGCAGGAGCTTGAAAGTCACGCGGTATTTGTGTAGGCTGGTGTGCACGGTTTGAAGCACCTGCTTTCCGATCACTACGTCGCGCGTGTAGTCGCTGCTGGCTGCCCACATGCGGAGAGCATCCGGCCCAAGGGCGTCGTACACCGGAGCCTGGTTTTCGGTCTGCTTCTTCCCCTTGCCTTTTCTCGGCTTCAAGGGTGGCAAAAGCGATCCGTCCATGATCGAATGCGGCAGCATCACATTGCCAATAGACTTGCTCATCTTGCGGCCTTCTTCATCCAGGGTGAATCCGTGGGTGATGAGGTGCTTGAAAGGCGCACGCGGGGAAGCGGTCTGTCCCGAGGCAAGCTGATGAGCGACGAAGGTGAGAAGCCCGGACTGGAACCAGCCTCGGTGCTGGTCACTACCTTCAAAGTACACGTCTGCCGGGCGGCCATCCTCACGGTAAGGGACATCCACTTCGGACCAGCTGGTGCCACTGTCAAACCACACATCCATCGTGTCGGTTCCTCGTCGATAGCCCGAACCAGATGCGTCCTGGAGCGATAGTGGAACCCACGCGTCATCGTTGGCTTCATCCGTCCACCATGCGTCAATGCCACGCGCCTCGATCACCTTCATGATATGCGTCACGCTATCCTTCGTGAGCACGGCCTCGCCAGTGCCCCGGTGATAGAGAGCAGGGATGGGGACGCCCCAGGCACGTTGACGAGAAATGCACCATTCGCTGCGGTTCTTGACGAAGTTCTCCAAGCGCTGCCGACCGGAACTCGGAACAAAGTTAACGTCGTTCAGCGCTTCCAAAGCATGGCCGCGAATGTCGGCCACGTCGGCAAACCACTGTTCGGTAGCTCGGATGATGATCGGGCGCTTAGACCTCCAGTCGTACGGATATTTGTGCTCGTACTTATGCTGCGTGAGAAGTTGACCTTGAGATTCGACATATTCCAGCACCGCCGCGTTACCCTCGTCGAGGACACTTTTCCCGCGGAGCCGTTCGGGATCCACGGGCATCGCCTTGTCGGTGAACCTGCCATGATCGTCCACGGGCGCGAAAGCGGGGATCCCACGAGAGAGACAGGCTTCGTAGTCTTCCATACCGTGACCCGGAGCGCAGTGAACCAGTCCAGACCCAGAGTCCGCGGTCACAAACTCCGCCGCGATGACCGGCTGCGCCTCCGCAGCCGCTCCCTTGAACAGAGGTCGATACGTAGTCTGATCCGCTAGTTGAGAACCGAGGATCGCCGGTACGATGACCGACAGATCCTCCTTCAGAGCGCTTTCCAAGTATTCCAAGCGAGATTGCGCGATGAGCAGGTGGCCGTGCGTCTCCGACTCGACGATCGTGTACTCGAGGGCCTCGTGGACCGCGATCGCGGCGTTCGCCGGTAGCGTCCACGGCGTCGTCGTCCAGATCACCGCGCTGATTTCCTTCCCCTGAAGCAATGGATCCTGGGCGAGATGCGCCGGGATCCGCGCGAGCGGGAACCTGACCAACGCCGCGGTCGACACATGGTCATCCTTGTATTCCAATTCCGCCTCGGCCAGGGCCGTGCCCGTCGACGGGGACCAGTAGACCGGCTTGAAGCGCCGATAGATGAGCCCCTTCTCGACCATCGCGCGAAAGATGCCGAGCTGTCGCTTCTCGAAGGCGCGGTCCATCGTTTTCCAGTGGTTGGCCCAGTCGGCCATGACTGCGAAGCTCCGGAAGCCCTTCATCTGGGCCTTGACCGTCTTGTCCGCCAGCTTGCGGGCCGCCCTGCGAATCACCGCCGCGCTGACGGCGGTCGTCCCGTCCGCGTTCTGGAGCTCCTTCTGCGCCTCGAGGGCCTTGAGCTCGATGGGCAGCCCGTGGCAGTCCCAGCCCGGCACATAACGCACCCGCCGCCCCAGCCCCAGTTGCGTGCGGCAGATGATATCCTTGGTGATCTTGTTCAGCGCGTGGCCGACGTGCAATTCGCCGTTCGCGTAAGGCGGTCCATCGTGGAGCACAAACGGCCGGTCGGCCGGGCGCTCACGCTCTTGCCAGGCGTAAAGGTCGTCGGTGCATCGGCGCAGGTATTTGGCCTGGTCGGCCGGCGTCACGCGGGCGGGGAACGTCGACTTGGGGAGCTTGAGCGTCGACGACCAGGACCGAGCGAGCGTCCGTGGCAATTCCGCCATACTATTGTCGGATCATATCCTGCCTTCTTTGTGAGGCTTGGTTGCGAGGAAAGACTGTTGGAGGGTTGCGAGTCGATACCGGGCTGCGGACTTTTGGGAAAGCTCCGGTGCGGATAATTTACAAATTACAGATACGGAAGCTTTGGTGGGTCTAACCAATCAAAGACTGTATTGAGGTTAAGTGTGTATTGTCAAGCCTACCTCAATACCTAGCTACCGGGCAGTAATACCCGCCCGCTGCCTCCAGCAGTCATGAAAATGGCATGAAAAACATATACAAGGCTCCCTTGAACGCCAACGCCTTCATGGTTCAGTCAATACAATGTCAGGCAGCTCACTGCCCCGTTCTTCATGACCTCAAACAAAAGGCCCGGAAAACCAAACAACTCTGTGTTTCCTAGACCTCCATCATGGGCCTCTTGCCCGGTCCTCTGCCCCTTACCGGTGCTTTCTTCCCATCCGCCCAGGAACTCGACACTGCTTTCCGGACTGTCGCCCCAGCCCCGGTTCAATATCATGGGTCTTTGCAAAGCACGCTCCTCCGCGGCATTTGCATAGGCACCCTTCCAGACTGAACGCAATTGCTCCGAGATCTCTTCGTAGCGAGTCTCAGATGTGAGAGCGTCGGCGGCCGGGTTGTGGATGATCTTCCAGCGACTTCGACGGTGCCGGTTGAATGGATATGAGCCTGGCACGTTTCCATGCAAGATTATCTTGGTCACCACCAGCTGGGAAGACGGCGAAGGCGGAGTTGGATCCGGGAGGTCAGATCCAGGGAAGGCAGGGCCAGATGCGGTTGGGTACGAGATAAAGGCATCGAATCCATGATGAAAGTAATTGAAGAAGCATTCGCTCGGAAGAGAGGAAGGATCCAGCGTGGGAGCCTGGGAAATTTCGTCATCCGAGTCGTCGGTCACACTATTGTTAGACGAATGATCAAGGTCTGTGACATCGATTCCGCGCCCGGAAGATGGGCCCATGTGCAGAGAGTCCTCTCCAGCGCTACGGCCTGCGGCGCGATGGATAGCTATTCTGCGATCGTTCTTACGGTATATTGCATCCGGCGGCCCGAACTCTGCAATCAGATCCTGCGGGGTGGTTTCTGACAATGTTATCTGAGCTGGCGGCGATGATCGTCGGATTGCTTCGATCTTGCCAGCTCCGAAAATCAGAAATTCCTCAATCTCATCCGGGACGACCTCCCTGCTTTTACCGACCAGCGCTGGGGAACGGGGATACTGGGGCTGCTGTGTAAACAATTTGTTTCGAGCTTCCGGCCATGAGGACCCTTGGAAAATGGACATCGAGGTTGCGGGTAATGCAGCCGATGAAGAAAGTAATGCTACAAAGTCACACTGGTCCGACCATGCTGAGTTCTGAAGCGGGAAGGAGAATGCGACGCCGGGATAGGATAACACGTAGGTACCAAACGGCGATTGGGGGCTGTCGGGAGGTATGTATTCTCCAGGGTACGAGGGACCAAACAAACGGTTATAGATGTGTCGAAAGTTGGGCCCTTGCTGCGGGACGGATGATTCTTGCGGTTTGATGCCTTTCAGCACCTCCTGGTTTTTGTAGACGAGGGTGATCTTGGAGAAGTCAAGCACTTCAATCAATCGCAATCTCTGATCTGGACCATCAAACCGCAGGCGGAGACCGCTGGATGGAAGTTGTAGAGTTACAGGTTTCCGTAGAGGTTCCGAGGACGAATATGCGATATCTATTGCGGGGTACGTCTGGGGATGGGACTTGACGCGGCTGAGCACATTATGGAGGGAGGCTCCCAGAGCTAAACAGACGCAGGTTAGTAGTGTTTGAATCAAATACAAGGGTTCAACATGCTTATAAATCCCAGCCCTTTCCCAGGGTAGATCTGAGCTTGTGGTGAAGGTCTGGAAGAAGAAGAAGTAGTCATGATGGAAAGTAGATCAACTGCATGCTGAGGCGGAGACGGTGAGGGGCGGGTCGGATTAGTATATGTATCTTTGAAAGAGGTGTTAAGAGTTGCCAGCTGCACCGGAGCACAACCACCGAGCGTTTCAAGATGAAGTTGAGAAGACTACGTGTCAAGATAAACTGACTGATAATGCAGAAGCAAAATTGTTCCAGGAGGGGAACAATAATAAGGACTGTCAGGAGGAGCACGAAGTGGGCAATGAACGCATGCTATCATGTGAGACGGGGGCATGACGAGCAATCCCGCCGGCACGTGGGCGGTGAAGCTGCTTTGTTTACATTTTCCGCTTTGAGACGGGCAATCAATAACAGCGGATAACTAACCAACTGACTGAGTAGCATCTCCTGAACCAAAATTCGCCGACCACCGCCTATGTTGGTGCGCACCTTTCAAGCTACTTCTGCAGTATCCAGTTTGGGGCGCGACTACTGACATAGACTACGGCTTTATCACCTTGGATAAAATCATCTAAATCATCATGGCTGGCCCCCAACGGGCTGCCTCAGGGCTGCCGACCAGACGAACAGCGACAGCGACGCGCCCCACCACCAGAAGACTCGGGTCTACAATGTCGACCACGGACAGAGCGGCATCTCCAGCGATTACATCAAAGGTGCCCTCATCTAGTGCGTCGCGTGCCACGAAATCAGCAGTCGAACCTGCCAGCATTACCGCGAAACGGAAAGAACGAGACTTCGAGCGCGAGATCAACGAAGATACGAGCATCCATGTCGTCGTCCGATGCAGAGGCCGGAATGACCGAGAACTCAAGGAAAACAGCGGCGTTGTAGTGTCCACGGAAGGCGCCAAAGGACAAAGCGTACAATTGTCGATGGGCCCAAATGCATTGGCCAACAAGACCTACACCTTCGACAAGGTCTTCTCAGCGGCTGCCGACCAAATCACCGTCTACGAGGATGTCGTGATTCCGGTTGTCAACGAAATGCTCGCTGGCTACAACTGCACCATTTTCGCGTACGGACAGACAGGAACCGGAAAGACCTATACAATGTCCGGCGACATGACCGACACGCTGGGCATACTATCCGACAATGCCGGTATTATACCTCGTGTGTTATACTCGTTATTCCACAAGCTGCAGGACACAGAAAGTACCGTCAAATGCTCTTTCATCGAGCTCTACAACGAAGAGCTCCGCGACCTACTTTCGGCCGAAGAGAACCCCCGACTGAAAATCTTCGAAAATGAGTCAAGGAAAGGCCACAGTGGAAGTACGCTTGTACAGGGAATGGAGGAAACGTTCATTGACTCTGCGTCCGCCGGTATAAAACTTCTTCAAGAAGGTAGCCACAAGCGCCAAGTTGCCGCCACCAAATGCAACGATCTGAGTTCCCGAAGTCATACAGTGTTCACAATTACCGTGATGACGAAACGGACAACGGAGTCCGGCGAAGAGTACATTAGCTCTGGAAAATTAAACCTGGTCGATCTGGCTGGTAGCGAGAACATTCAGCGCAGTGGGGCAGAGAACAAGCGTGCGGCAGAAGCTGGTCTTATCAACAAGAGTCTGCTCACATTGGGCCGGGTCATCAATGCCCTGGTCGACAAAAGCCCTCACATCCCCTATAGAGAATCGAAACTCACTCGTCTCTTGCAAGATTCACTCGGTGGAAGAACCAAGACATGTATCATTGCGACAATCTCGCCATCGCGCAGCAACCTGGAAGAGACGATATCGACATTGGACTATGCTTTCCGGGCCAAGAATATTCGCAACAAACCGCAGATTAACTCAACCATGCCGAAAAAGACCCTCCTGCGAGAATTCACAACCGAGATCGAAAAGCTGAAAGGCGAGCTTATTGCCACGAGACATCGGAACGGCGTGTATATGAGTGTTGATGCATACGAAGAGATGACCATGGAAAGCGAGTCTCGCAGGATTGTCAACGAGGAACAACGCGCGAAGATTGAGTCTATGGAGTCTAGCCTGCGCCACAAGGTCCAGGAGCTTTTCTCTCTTACGAGCAATTTCAACGATCTCAAAAAGAACAATGAAGAGACACGGAATGCACTGAAGAAGACGAACGATGTCCTCGAACAGACTGAGATTGTCCTTAAGGATACCAAATCGCAACTCGAAGAAGAAGAAATACTCCGTAAGGCGCACGAACATACAGAGGCTCACCTTCGCGACGTTGGGGCTGGTCTGCTTTCCACCCTGGATACCACTGTCGCGGACATCAATGGACTTCACGCAAAGATCGAAAGGAAAACCAATCTGGACACTGCTAACAAGGAAGCTTGGCAGGTGTCTGCGGCCGAGGTTTCGGACGTGACCCAGGTTGTCGATTCCAGACTCGAGGACTTCCAGATGCAGCACTCCGAGCTGGTTGAGGCCATGTCGAACAAAATCAACGAATTCGTTACGAGTGAGATTGAGAACATCGAGTTGAACAAATCGCAGCTGCTAGAGACCAATGATCTATTTGACAAAGCAGAGCGGGAGGCCCATTCTCAAACATGCGCTGCCCATGACGAAATGAACGAGGTACTCGAAGAGATCAAAGACTTGCGCGAAGAGGTCAAGGGTAAAGTTGGTGAAGGCCTTAATGGCCTGTCTGCCGCTGCTGCTCGCATTTCCAAGGAGGTGATTGGCGAATTCGCGGATTTCAATGCCCAGCTTCATTCATCTTACAGCACTCTTGGAAAGGACCTCAAATCTGTGTTTGAGGAAATGGTGGCTCAATTGAACGGACAAAGAATGGAGATCAACAAGCTGAGATTGGAACTCCAGGATGCCAATCAGAAAGCGGTCGAGGCGAATCGCAAGATCTCGTCGCACTTGGCACAGACTCTGGAAGAGGAGAATGCAAATGCAGAGTCTGAGCGTGATCTCCTGCTTTCTCAAGTAAAGTCTCTCATTGAGGACTCACGCCAAAGGCAGTGTAGCCGTCTCAAGGGCAGGATCGACACGATGCGTACTGAGCTCTCTGCTTCGGGTGACTCCCTGGAGCATGCGACCGCTCATTATGATCGCCAGGTTGACGAATGGGTTTTCAAGTCGGAGCAATTTGCCAAGGATGTGATTGCCACTAAGGATGAGATGAAAACGAAGATGCAGAGTGACTGGGAGGTAAGTTCCAAGCCGTGTCATTTCTCTTCAATAATATCAATACTGATCACCTTGCAGAGTTTTGAACAACGCAACGCATCTATCCACAAGACAACTGAGGCGGTGCACGAAGAAACCGTTCGAATCGTTGATGCTCAGATGAAGAATATGAGTAAACAGATGGAAGCTTTGGACGATTTCGTAGCCAAGGCACGCTCTCAGAACGGTGTTTACCGAGACGCCCATCTTTCAAGCCTCCACAACATGTCCTCCAACGTGCACGAGTCATATGACTCGGTCCATACGCAATTGTCGGACTTGGGCAGTCGTCTCCAGGAGCTGCAGGAAGGGGCTATCCAGCAGCAGACTAATCTACACGAGTCCGCCATGCCGTTGTCAGACGATGTGAGGAAGTCGCTCTTGGAGCTTCGCCAACACATTCAACGCCGAGCATTTGCTGAGTACGTTGCGACTGGCATCACCCCCAAGAAGCGTCATTATGATTATCCGGCAGACCTGCCTCGCACCGAGGCACATGAAAACATCAAGTCAAGGTTGAGGACCTCTAGGGAGTTTACGGCTCTTCCTTTCAGTGGCGAAGACCGAATTTCAGTGCTTGATAGCTCTCCTGCCACCACACCAGCGAAAGGATTCGTTTTTCACGATACCGAGGACGAGGTAGGATCTCTACCACCCAAGACCACCGTCACTCCTTCCAACAGCGGCCTTAGGGAAGTCGATGCAAACGTCGCCGCCAAGGCCCTCGTAACTAGTGCGGCCGATGACAAGGCCACGCGCAAGTCCTCTGGCGTGGGAGTTGATGCGGACTGTGCTGATGGAGAGCAGCCGCCTCCCAAGAGACGTTGTTCAAGCACCACGACCGCCGACGCCAAACTACCTCCGAAATTACTCAACCGGAAGATGGCCGGAATCATGGAAGGCCCAGAGAATGTACCGCCCGTCGAAACCCCGAGTGGCAGAAGACTTCGAAATCGGCCTTCTCCTTGATCTATCATGTTTTTACTCGCTGTGCAGAAGCACACTGTTCGCTTGTACCTTGCGGCAGGCGTTTTGAGATACCCCTGGTCTTGGCTAAGATGAATCTGGAGACGGCATTCGCTTGTTTTTTGTTTTGCAATTGTCTGTTCGCGATTGGAGCATTGTTTCTTGCGGGCTTTGCGGTGCCTGGCGTTTTGTTCTCGTATAGGTTTCCCGCGGGATGAGAAGATACCCGGCTTTGACGTGATAGAATTCTACAGTCATGGACTTTCTGAAGCTGCAAGCATCGTTCCAAATGCAGTGTACAACACGAGTAGATGGGTTAAAGCCTACAGCTAGACAGTGACGCCATACGCTACAATGCATCTCGCCGAGCTGATATGTTTCCAGCTCAAAAGGTAGTGTCAGGATGTTCCTTCGGCCAGCCCTATAGTCCCACCTCTTTTCCAGCCGTAGTGTCTTCACCCAAACCCTGTCCATTATCTTGCTGTCCTTGATCCACCCCATGTTCATCCATCTTCCCTTCTTCCCCAGGAAGCGTCGACTCCGCTTTCACATCCTCGATGAGCTCCCCTTGCCCGCCAGCCTCAATAACCAACCGAAGCTCCGTCAACCGCTTCGCGAACTGATCCATCATCTCCTCCAACCGCTGACAGCCGCGCTCCTTATCCCGATGATCCTTGCCCAGCAGATTATTGATCGGCAACCCCGCGGTGCCCCGGATCTTCAACATCAGGCCCCCGTTGACCGACTGCCCCTGCCCCTGCGACGGCGTGTTGTTCGTATTGTTCTCGAACGTCGGTGCCGGGCCCAGCTGCGTATGGAGCACCTGCCACGCCGGCGACAGACTATGCGCGGATGTCACCACCATCGACTTATCGTCCCCACCGTCTGGAGCGCTGTGATGTGCCTGCTGCTGCTGCGGCGGCGGCGGCGACGTCGCCAGCACTTGACCGCCAGTAGTATTCCCGGATTGCTCTTTCATCTCCGCTGCTGCCGGCAGCAGACCACCCGCATAGTCCACGTCGAGAATCACGTAGTGCTCGCGCACCCCCGGAATGGAATCCGGTAGCAGGGAGGGTTTCTCCTCATCTTCGTAGGTGCTTTCCGGCCCTGGGCCTTCTTGTTGTTGTTGCTGCTGCGGTCGACGCGGTCTGCTCTTGTTGTTGTTGTTGTGATTGTCCTTCCGGGTTTTGGGATTGTAGACGAGGCTCGGATCGGATTCACTCTCCAGCGCGCGGAGGGTGGCTTCGGTGACGATATCGGTGTCGTCGTCGGCGAAGATGTAGTGGACGGTTGGGTGGTAGTATTCGCCGGTGTTGGCGTCTTCGATAAGGGTGAAGAAGGGTTGGAAGGAGGATGTTGGTGGGATTGTGGGTTGGTTGGGAAGGGATGCAGGTGGGATCGTGGCTGCTGGTGGTGGTGGGTTGGGGGTGTTTTCGAGGTGCTGTTGTTGTTGTTGCGCGGTTGGCGGTCGGTCGATAATGCTTTGGGGTCGGGAGGTTGGGGGGTGGTTGGCTGAGATGCGGCGGATGGATTGTTTGGATGGGGAGGAGGAGAGGGGGGAGGGGGTGGTGTATTTTGGTAGAGACATTTTTGTGGTAGAGAGGAATAAAAGAGGGAGGATGGCTGAGGCTACATCATGGTTGTGGCGTGGATGTTCGAGGGTGGGTGGGTTGAGTTGGTGACTCGGGATGGAGAGCTCAGGGTCGTATTGAAGGAGAGGTACAACCACCGATCTGGGGAAATTGGCTGGGCTCGGACGATTGGCGGTGCTACGCTCTTATCGATAAAGCTGGATAATACCGGTCAGGTGATCTGATCGGCCATTGTAATCACTGCTTAGGATGATTGCGAGGAAGGGGTATATGTACATGAACGAGGAGAAGCAAGAATGCATATAACAATGAGTAATTCAGACAGGTAGAATAGAATGGGTATCATAGTCGCTGATATGATCAACGCCTTCTTCGAATAACCAACAGATGGTCCCTGATCAACTATTGTTGTTGTTGTTGTTGTTCTTCGTCATTTTGTTTCCATTCGAATTCTGCAGGTAAAACGTAAGTGCATATCCAGAAAAAGGATGCCATGGAAATGACCTACTCTGTCGGCACATGGGACAGAGCCCCTTGGAGGACTCTTGCTGGATCCATGTCATCAAACAGTGCTGTGTTCAGTCAGTAGTGTCTCGCTTGCGCCATGAGGACATTGGGATCCGCAATCGCACCATATGAAAAGAATGACCGCATTTCCCAAGCACTGTATGCCGGATCAGCTAATTTAAGGTAACTCCGATAACGGGGAAGAAGAAGAAGAAATCTCACGTAAAGAGCAATCGTCGCCGGGAAACTTGCAGGTCGGACAGGTACCATCAAACTGGACGCGGCAGATACCACAGACCTCATCGTCGGGCATGTCCCAGCGCCAGGTCGCGACAGCGTTCCACTCTTTGATAGTGACCTTCATGATTGATTTGGGCTTGAGCTTGCACTTGGGTTGGACACCAGACCAGAGCAGTGGAAGTAAGGACGCAGACGCAAAACTGGGAGGAGAAAAGGAAAGTGGAATCGATAAGCGGGATTGTTTACCCGGTTGATTTTCACATGGTCGGCCGCTCTCCGCATCGGTGATAGGAAAGGAAGTCAACTCATTCATTCCTCCTCCTCCATTACTCCGCACACACGTCCTCATCATCAACCCCTCCTCATCTCGTTTATCATTTCCCCTACTCGAGCTGGTGGATGAATAATCCCACTTCCTAAGTCCTAACCGGCATGTAAATACCTCTTGCCTCCACTTCCTTCCTTACTCTCTCAATATGGCTTTCGCAGCTCTTCGTAACTCTATCCCTTCACCGACTCGCCTGGCCCGTTCTACCATGTCGTTCTCACAACAAGCGCGCCAGCAATTCCAGAGTCGCCCTTACTCTTTTGCATCATATCTGGTAACTCCTAAAGAGTTGGACACTGCTTTGAAAAAGAACCCAGCTACAAAGATCTCGACCGCCCCACGCGTAGTCCCTCTATGCGCCGCCTGGTTCATGCCGAATGACCCCGAGGGTCGCAAAGGTATCGACATTTTCCGCAACCACCGCATTCCCGGAGCTCGTTTCTTCGACCTCGATGCTGTCAAAGATCATGAATCTCCTTACCCGCACATGCTTCCCACCGCCGAAACATTCGCTGAAGCCATGAGCGAGCTGGGTATTCGCCGGGACGACGAAGTGGTGGTCTACGACTCCGCGGAGGTCGGCATCTTCAGCGCGCCTCGTGTTGGCTGGACCCTTCGAGTCTTCGGACACCCGCGGGTTCATGTTCTGAACAACTACAAATTGTGGGTTGCTGAGGGTTTCCCCACGGAGACCGGAGAGCCACAGCAGCCGGAGAAGACCAACTACCCTGTCCCCACGTACGACTCGAAACTCGTGATCCCGTACCGGGAGCTGAAGGAGATCGCCAAGGAGCACAGAAAGGAAGGTGCGAAAGAAGTGGAGATCCTTGATGCACGGTCCTATGGCCGCTGGGCGGGCACCGACCGTGAACCGCGCCCGGGCTTGTCTTCAGGGCACATCCCGGGCTCCAAGAGCCTTCCGTTCCAGGAGTTGCTGGACCCCGAAACCAAGACGTTCCTGCCCGGGCCCGAGCTGCGCAAGATTTTCGAGAGCAAGGACATCGACACGAGCAAGTCGATTATCAGCTCGTGCGGCACCGGTGTAACGGCGACTATCATCGAGACGGCATTGGCTGAGGCGGAATACGGCGAGCCAAGCCTTCGGAGGGTTTACGATGGGAGCTGGACGTGAGTTTCAAACCCTTTCTTCTTTCTTCAATGGCCTTATTTGCTGACTCCGACGATAGTGAATGGGCACAACGTGTTAAGCCCGAAGAAGGTCTGATCAAGAAGACGGTCTAGGCAATGCGACTGACGATGACCCGGCCCGGTGCTTAGTATCCAGAGTCTGAGATATGGTTTTGGGTATGACGTGATGGCTTTTTCTTTCTTTCAATTGTTCCAGCTTGTTCGAGCGACAGCACATACCAAGAGATTACTCCAATTGGAGTCATAAACAGTACGCAAAGGAGATGTCCCGGATAGAAGACTTGTGTGTAATGGTGACCATGATTGGTATCAGCTACGGGGAGTCAGAGCTTAGTGACTCTTACTAGTCAACTCCCAGTGAGCTTGTCGTAAGATTGAGGTCAAATTGCATAAATTACTACTAAATTCTCGAAGACAACAAACTGATAGTCACGGGCGGCGCGGAGTTATACTGCGCTTAGTCAGGATGCCGACGAATCCCGCGGCTTGGAGTTGATCCGCTGCTGAAGGTCCTCTCCTCTTCCTCCTCTTCCTTCTCACTTATCTCGTTGCCTCATTATTCCCTCATACAGTCTTTTATTCGAATCGCAAAATGCTGCAGATGACCGTTCTTTGTGAATTAGGATTGCATTGTAAGTGAAAATGTCAACCCTTTCGATACCCTGTGAAGTCGGGGCCACTTCTCCCCGGGACGTCCACTACTCTCTCTGGCTGCGAGCCAGGGCCCCCACATTCCCATATTCCTCCGCCTCCATTAATCCTAATCAAACCTCCCTCGCTGGATCCAGCATCACGCTAACCACGCCTGCGGCTCGGTCGCAGTCGTCAAAGCTAGCTATTTGGTATAGGGCCGTTGTGCCGTGCGAGTATTTTCATTTTTAAGCAACGCGACCCGTTCTGTCGATCGCCTCAGGGCAATTATGACGACCGGACGCAAGGTCTTCCACTGCGCCGTGGATGAGACGGCGTTAACCACCAACATCAGCGAAATCAAAAAATGGACGACTAACGGGGCCATCACTCTGATCGTGCCTCTGTACAGTAAGTCGAGAGGAGCTCATTCACCTTGACGGTTACTGATCTAGTGCTCCTTCTCAGCCCTTGAACGCCTCCATGCACTGAAGAGAGCCGGGTCGCAGGTCGCCATCAATGCCCGCGAGGCTGTCCGTTTCCTGGACCGGGTCACATCCGGCAAGGACAACATCTCTTCCGAACGGGTTGCTTTGCAGGGTCCCATGGAGCAGTACGAGAACTGGACGGAGGCAGAGAAGTTCTTCCTGCCCGAGTTCGAGGAGGATCCGGAGGCGATCGACGGACTCGTCTCAAACGGCCCGACGGCGCACCCCGACGAAAAGATCAAACTATCCAAGAAGAACGGCGCCTCCCCGGACGACCTCTCTCAGATGCTACTCAGCAAGTTGAACTTCAAAAAAGAACTCGATGCAGTCTCGAACACGTCCAACGGAACCCACAGTGCCCCCTCTCGCCCGTCTTCTCGGAGCTCTCGGACCAGCCCCGACTGTGCAAACTCGCAGGTGATAACCAACGAAGGAGGGCCCAAGGATAACAAGACGAAGCGCGCCGAGGGACATCGCCGTTCGGCGTCTGGGTCGGCCATCCCCACGGTCCCGCCTGTGCTCCGGCCGCTGCTCAGCGCGCTGCTGTGGCGACTGCACCAAGGGCCCGATGCTTCGAACGCCGCCAAGACTTGTATTCTGATCACGAACGATCCACAGACCCAGCTCTGGGCCCAGAAATTCGGCATTGGGGTCAAAAACATTCATCAGCTGCGAACATCGATTCAATACGAAGAGCGAGAGTATAAAAACCGATGCAAATATGTCGAGAAGACTCAGGCGACGACCAGCGAACCGAAATCGCTTCTTTCCTACGAGGATGAGAGCGACGAAGACGAGCTCGTTTTCGTTCCTCGTGGCGGTCGGGGCAAGGGAGCGTCGCGCGGCGGCGGCTCTCGTGGGGTCAACAGTCGCAAGCCGCCTGTCGTCAAAAGCGTTGTCCCGCCTGTCGAGGCGACCATGGAGATCCCTACTCAACCCATCGACCCGAATTCGTTCAGTCGTTCTCTTGGTCCCACCAAGCAGACGCCGACGGTCGACCTGAGCACTCAGTCAGGAGCCGCACGGGGCATCGCGGGTGCGTCTCGGAATCATGCTAACAACCGCCGAGGAGCCTCCCGAGGCCCGACTCGTGGTAGTGGTAACAGCCGGGGTCGTGGAAAACTCTGGGTTCCTTGATCGTATGGGCCGGTTCGTCAATCATACGACGGACGAATCGCACGTTTTCCAAACCCGATGAAGACCGACGCGGTTGTTACATGAAGCAACAAAATTCAGTCCTTCTGCCTTACCCGGGCTGCCTTTAGTCCGACCTCTGTCGATTTCGACGTGACTTCATGGATGAGGCGAATGGGTCCTGGACAGATGGCATGGCATCCGAACTGGTAGACGAGATCTAAGCGCTTAGTCTCGAGAGAGCCTACAACGATGACGCTCAGATGGGAAGGGGGCTTTCGGAGGAGAGGACCGGGCTGCATTTTGGTCTGGTTTCCTCTGAGTTGCTCGAACGTCTCGAGATTCTGTTGAGGCTCGTAGCTGTCTGGGTCCATCGCTTTTGCTTTAGTGGGAGGAGGCGTTTGCTTTCATTTTCCCTCTTAGGAATTTGCTGGTAGGAAGCCCGGGGCACAAAGGACTATGTCCCGAGGAAGCTAGCTTTTCGACATTTTCTACTCTGCAATTACGAAAACAGATACAGCAGTTGTTCTTCTCTTTACGATCGATTTTGTGGGCATATTTTGGGCTGGTGGAGGGGTGGTGTGGGGGTGGGGAAGAAGAGCAGGCCAAAAAATACTCGGAATATTTATCAAGGTAGCTGCAATGACAATATGAGTTATTTGTGGTTAATGGGGGGTTGTGTCTTTTCTCAGATTGTGACATAGTAATGTGGATGGACTGTACTTGAAGGAGTAGGGAGTTTAGCGATCTCTCCACATATGACATCGTGCGCCACCAGTTGCCTGAGCTGGGGGTCCCGTGGATCGGCCTGCCACTCGCCCATCACTTGACCTGACCAGCACCACAATCGCCCTGACAACTGCACCACAACCTACGTAGCTGCTGGTGATCCTTTGACTGTGACTAAACTTATTTATACCTCGGGAGTTCCCTGGGTTTTGCACCAAAGTACTCCGTACTCCACCAATCTACCGACTACCACAGCATCTTTGTCCCTGCAACAACAACAACAACACCGTCTCTATTGATATCCTCGGGAATACATACGTCACCATGGACCCCAGCGCCATCGACCAGACCCCTCTCTCCTCCTCCCCCACCGAGCGTCGTGATTCGCTCGAGAAACATCTCCAGCATCGCCCGGATGTCCAGGACCTGAAAGAACGACACATTCTCCTGGACACCACTGTGGCTCCGTACGTTGACAGAAAACAGAAATGCGTATTTCTCCCCCGCTAACATTGTGCGTCGGTATAGATCCCTCCAAGCCGCCCACCAGGAGCTCGCCCGCCAGCGCACGGCCGACGACCTGAAGAAGCACCTCGAGCACCGACCCGACCGCGAGGAACTCGTTGAGCGTGCGTGCCCCGGGGTGTTCGAACCGTGAGTGATATGCTGATTATTATGTGATTAAAAGGCAACATCCTCCCCTCGTCGACCGCCGCCCCCGCTTTGCAAGCCAACGCCCGCGAGCTGGAGAAACACATGCTGGCCGATCATCTGGACCAGAAGATCGGGTGCCGACCGGCGCCAGCTGAGCTGATCTCGCAGGGGATCTTGACGGAGGACGAGGATCCGCGATTCCCGACTGTTTAGGTGGTTTGTGGTCTGATTGATATGATTGATGCTGGCTGGCGTTTGTTAAGTTGCGTAGTATTTCGCTCTCGTATTGAGTCTTTCGGGCTGGTTGTATGTACTTAATGCCTGCTGCAGCAGCAGTGTTTAACCAGTTCTGATCGTGCTAGTGCTATTATTAAGATTAATTCATTCCTCACTGTCCACAATCCTAACCTTTTGTCGATGCACTCGAGTGATTCCGCACATAGTTCTAATCCTACAAGAACCGCCACCACCCGTCATGCAACAATGCAATAATCGTCCTCCCCCCGCAGGTAATCAATAAGCTTCCTCAACCGCCGCGCCCCCCAAATCCGGCCTCCACCCCTTCGGCCGCTCACTCCCACGCACCAAGATCCCATACGCCGCGCGCTCCACCTTCTCCACAGACCCCTGCATCACCTCCGTCTTCCGGCCGATATCCCGGAACATGCTCCCGGCATGCCTGCGCGGGATACTCAGGAGCTCGATGGCCGCGCGCATCGCCCGGAGATCCACGACGATGGCATTCTGCTCGGGCCGGAGGTGGATCGTTTTCGGTGCCTCCTTCCCTGCCGGAGTGTCGGCGCCGTCGCCCATCGAAGCCTCCTCCCCCTCCTGCTTCCCGGGATGATCTGGATGATGGTCCTCGATGGTGGCAGTCGACAACCCCGTCACCGCGAACCGCATCACCTCGCCCGTCAGATCGAACACCCCCATCAGGTAATCCTCCTCCGTCAGCGGGATGCCCTCCGGCAGGTGGCGGCGCACTTCTGGGAGGGTGATGAGGGTTTGGGTGGTCAGGTAGTGGCGGAAGGAGAGCGCCTCGATGAACTCCTGGATCGCGCCGCTGAGTTGGCGCTGGTAGCGGTGGCGGTTTAGCGTTGCTAGGTCGGGAAGGGTCGATTCGAAGAGTTTGGTGACTTGCGTGAAGCGGGCGGTGGTTTCGGTTGCGATGGTGGAGGGGAGGGGGTGGTTCGGGGTGCGGATTCTGCCACATTGAGTAATGGTGTGAGGGGATTCGGGGTGGGGAGGGGGGATGGGATGGGGGAGGTACCGTTGGAGGGAGAAGATTCTGTTGGGTTTGGTGTTAGTTTTGTGATGGGAGACAGGGTTGAGTGGGCTGGGGGCGGGCTCACATCTTCTTGCTGAGCGCTGTGATATCGCGGCTGGTTTTGATTAGGCGTTCGCGCCGGTCGTGGTGTTCGTCTAGTTCATTCCGGAAGGTTTCGAACATGCTTTGGATTGACACGGGCGCAGAAGCGGTGGAAGTGGAAGAAGTCATGGTTGCGGGGTCGAGTGATTGACCGTCCCAGGTGCGTTTTGTGCCGGCCATGGGAGATGGAGGGGATGAGGGGTGGAGGAGCTGGGAAGAGGAGGAGGAGGAGGGGGGAGGGGGGGAGGAGGGGAGGAGGGGAGGAGGGATGCAACGCGTTCGCCCGCCGCGGCGAAGATGTCGATGTCATTTCTGCGGTGTGGGGCTTTGCTGGTTTGGGTGATTCCGCTTATCTGATAAGATCGCTATCTCTATGCCTTCGACAATGATGGAAACATTTGAATACTGCCCAGTGAACAAAAGCTTGTCTAGGAGAGAAACCACTGGGGACTGGATAATTGACTATTCCTGATGTAGACAAAAAGTAAAGGAGGAGCCCCGCCCGTGTTTAGAGGCCATTGCCATAGGCAGAGTAGGATGATCTGATTCAAGCTGAGTAGGTTCTCCCAAGCCACACACAATAGTGCGTTCCTGACTCTTGCAACAGTAATCATCAGTGATCAAGATACTTGTACTTCAGCGAGTCACCCGCCTTGAATCCCCGGACCGTGACAGTCTGATCATCACCGGGCATAATGTCCATAGCGCTGTCGCTGATCTTGACCCCATCCCTCTCCTCAAACACCAAGCACTTCACCGGCTTCTGCGCGCGGATCTTCAAGGTCTGCTGCTCAGCCGTCTCGGAAACCTTCTCCACCACAAGTCCCCGTTCTGAAAAATCGAGGTACTTGAACGGCTGAGGCCAGTCCACATCCCTCGCCACAATCTGCCCGTCTACCCACAAGCGGGCAGCCAGCACGTGTGGCTCGGGATACTCCTTATAATCAATCAGACCGTCCACGATAAGATTGGTGGTGCCATTCGGCTGGATGGTGATGTTCTCGTGGACCACGTTTTCCCTGACCTCCTGCCCATCGTTGATGGAGAGGAATCTGAGTTCCACCGTCCCTGTCCTTTCCTCTTGAACAGAGCTAACAACCCAGAGCTCAAACTTGCTCGTCTTCGGAGGCTGTGCATGCGTAACGCTCCAATCGTGATGTTCGCGTCGGATGCCCACCGCCAACGGAGCTAATACGCGCGCGACAGCGTAGAATGCCGGCTTGGGTCGCAGGAAGTAGTCCACAATAGCCCATGAAATGGTCGGCCAGCAATCGTTGAGTTGCCAGAGCAAAGCACCGCCGCAGTGCCTCTCATCGCCCCACTGCCGACGCCACCCTCGATACCCGAACATCATGGTCTCGGCTTGGACGACTTGCGTGAGATAAGTGTAGGTCTGTCTCATTAGCGCGGATTACCTTGTGGGGCCGTGGGATCCTACCTCCAAGTCTGTAGCTGTCTTCAGGTTTTCCACCAGGTATGTAGCGATACGCCGTTCGTGTCCGTCGGCTTTGTTGTGGAAGTCGAGAACGTGCGACTGCGGGTACTTGTCCTTCTCGTGCTCGACAAAGTGGTTGATGGTTGAGAGGTGAGGGAATGCTTCCATGCCAAACTCACTGTTGAATCGTCCGCCGAGGGTATCGAAGATCTGGTACTTCTCTTGCGTTCCATGCCAGACTGTAGTAGGTCAGCAACTGGTGTCACATGCGCGAGAAACGGGCATTACCATTCCACTGATGCATGTCTCCTACCGTCGGATCGGACGTCTTCTTGCCATCTCCCCATGGGCTTCCTGGATGATAGAATGTCCGTGGAGAGTGTTTATCCATCACCTCCGGAAGCAGTTTCTCGTATATGTACCTAGCCGGAAAGTCCGTCTTCAACCAATTCTCGGGGTTCTTGTCCTCGAAGTCATAGGTCAGACCTGCCGACTCTTGTACTTGATAGTCCTCATTATTTCCAGCATAAAGCACAATAGACGGATGATGCCGCAGCCGGCGCACATTATAGACAGCTTCTCTTTCGATCGACTCAAGCAGCTCGGGCCAGGTCGGGTAGTTGCCACAGCCGAACATGAAGTCCTGCCATACAAGCACCCCAAGTTCGTCGCATGCTTCGTAGAAATTGTTGTCTTCGTAGATACCGCCGCCCCAAACCCTGTTGCTGTAAGCAAAACTGAAATGAATCCGCGTAGACTGACCTACCGAATCATAACTTGGCGACCAGCGACCATAAGTTCAATCCAGCTCCGATAGCGCTCACGGGTGATGCTGGGCAAGAGGTTGTCTGCGGGAATCCAGCACGAGCCACCACAAAAGACGTCGACTCCGTTGATCCGGAAGAAGAACGACTTGCCGTGCTTGTCTGGCCGCTGAACGACCTCTGCTGTTCTGATGCCGATCTTTTGCGAGACATGGTGCAGCTCAATCTGATCTTTTTCCAAGAAGACAGAGACCTCGTACAGATTTGGGTCTCCGTAACCATTTGGCCACCAGAGGCTTGGTTGATCAACATCAAATGTCACTTTGGCGACCTTGTTGTCTGGCGTGGTGACCTGCCGAGCAATCTCCTTACCATCTTTACTCAAGGTGAAGATGGCTCGGAAGAAGAAGTCCTCTGTGGCATCAACCTCGGCGTAGGCATCAACCCGCGCATGCTGATGATCCGCAGCAAGATCTACGTCTGTCCAGAGGTCCGCTATTCTGGCAGAGTATACTTCCAGCCGAACGTCTCGCCAGATGCCCGCAGTCATCAGCACTGGGCCCCAGTCCCAGCCCCAGTGATACTGAGCCTTACGAACGGCTAGTCGGGCCGGATCACCGTTGAAGGAAGCCCAGTTGTGCTTGGGGTCCTGCTTGCGGAGCTCCTTGGCTCGCAGCATGGCACAATCAAAGTCAATAAGAAGCACATGATCACCCTCGGCCTCCAGGGCTTCGGTGACGTCAACGCGATGTGCTAGGAACATGTTGTTGCTCTCAAGAATGATCTTATCGTCCAGTCTCACCGTAGCAAAAGTATCCAAGCCGTCGAACGCCAGAACGACCCTGGATCCAGCAGGGACGGTCGGCTTCTGGAATACATTTCTGTAAGACCATGACTTCTCATTGACCCATCTTGCCTCGAGCTCATTGAAGCCAATGTAAGGGTCTTGCAATCTATGTGCTCCGCGTTAATTCCCTGCCGATAGTCAAGAGGCTGATGGTGGCACACCTTCCATTCGCCTGTAGGTCCTGATGAACGACAGACGGCACGCTAGCAACAGACATCCAAGTATCAGATGCCTGTTCGTTGCTATCTGTGAAGGACCATCCGGTGGTCAAAGGATGCTGGATGAAACTCGCCATAGCGGAAGCCAAGGAGGGGTAATGACGAGCGAATGGCAACAATGCGTGAAAGTTCAACGGGTGGGGATCAATCGATGACCTTGTGAATGCTTTCTGGCAATGAAGGGGAGATTTACACTCTTTGTATCTTGAATCTGATATCTGATGGTTTTAGATGCCATGAGGGAAGTATAGAGCAAGGGGAGAGCTGCACGGAGAGATCTCCGCATTCCACGTGCTGTCATTGCCTAATCGGGCAATCGACGGGCGGCTTCTCCTCCTTTCCCAAAACAGTCCTCCTCCATTGAGTCCCCATGTTCTACACTTCCGCACTCAACACCCTCACTGTCTCACCATCTCCCGTCAGTCTTTGAGTTTCAAAACGGCTCATCGTCAAAATGTCTCAAATGAGCCAAGTGATCAGACAAATGATCAGACAAAGAATATCCTGAGCGCTGTCCGAGTCAGTGCAGAGACACGACCGATAAGAAATCCCTCCCGTCTTGGGAGACATATAAAGTGGCTATTTTCTGTATCTCGAACCACGCTCCTCTCCCTGAAACCAATCCTCGACATTGCTCCCCTTACTTTACTGCTTTAGGTGCGGATGATGCTCCACGCAGCTATGGTTGGTCTCCCGTCTGATCAAATCCTTCCTTGTGCTTGGAGATTCTTGTTCCTGACAGCCCTGAAGATCACTAGTTAAACCGAACGTAAATCTTCTCATCTGTGCTGAATCGCTCTCGACCACCTTGCACCTGGGTTTCAAGCGAATTTGTACCCTCCCCCCATTGCCAAATAAGCGAGCTTCTCTGCCAGAATCTTATTGGTTGGTACGCCAGTCACTAGTCCGACCATTGTCGCTTAGCGAAACGAACGACAGTCCCAGCAGCTAATTGCAAGGACCATGGGGTGTTAACACTCAACACTCAACAGCCGGGGCAGGTGCCTCGGTTCTCACTTTGCTTCCGCCCTTCCCGCCTCCCGTTGCTTCCACAGTCATGTCGGGGTACCTTACAGGAAATGGAGACAGGTTCCTCCTTGGGGCGCTAACCATTCGATGCGGCATGTGATGAGTGAGCAATTTCGCGCTCTTGGCGTTCATCGCAATTAGCCTGATCACTTTTGCCTAACCAATGCGGGCCCCTCTGCGTCGAGTCTAATTTGCGATTGGCTGTTGACTTCGAATACCCCAGAATCCGTGTCAAATCACACGCACCTCTGTCCAGAAGCGTCCTAAGTGGTGTGAAGCCGCTTATTCTATCAACCGGCATCAAACTCGCTTGGAACAACCAGATGGGCCAGGAAATGCTCTGAATCGAGACCAAAGTCTTATCACAGCTTTTGCCACTCATGATTCCCTAGAAAAATGATGGAGCCGAGAGGAGCCCACGGACCAGTTGAATTACGGCATTGAACATAGGCGACGGACTCTAAACGGCGGTGCGCCAACAGACTCCGACCCCGTCATGGGGTTTAATTAAAATAGGGTGTCAAGGCCGGTCATCCTATGCGGGGTCAGAGCTGTGATTGGCGGGGACAGATTTCCCAAAGAGTCAGACCCTGCGAAGATGTTGGAATGAGAAATTTCTTGAACCCTGCTATTGTCGCCTGCGCCGTCGCGAAAGGAAAACACCCGTCAGATTCTGACAATGGACTCAGGAGCAGTAAGCTCGAGCAGCACGGATGAACGGAGGCTGTTCAATCGGGTATTCACCGACCACTTCTGATGGAAATCGCAGTTAGATGCAGTTGGTCTTTCTGCCTATTTGTGGTTGTTGCTCGGACATCGAGTGGCGCCACCCCTGTTGGTTTAATATATTGATGTGCTCCGGTCTTCACCAGCCTGCAGAACTGTAACGGGGTTGGCTGCCCGCTAGGCGAATAACGATTGTTTGTCCGGCTCGGGGTTGAGTACCATGGAAGGGCTGTCAGTCCTGACGTGGGTAGATGCGGGCGCCCCCAAGAACGTGGGCGAATTCGTGCGTCGAACGCTTACTGTGGTAGAGCCCGCGATGTTTGCGCACACAGGGCTGTTCCTCAGGTGACCTGGAGAAGGACCCCAGCAACCCACCTTCACGTCGATGTTCTTCCTTTCGGAACTGGAAGGACTTCTCACGGAAGGAGTTCGAGGGCTCATCCATCTCCCCCTGATAGGTGGAAGGACATTGTTCAACGTCAAGCAGAGTGCATCGTAGAGAGGGGAAAGCGCTAACAGGAGACAGATCCAAGGCACCGTGAAGAACGGACCCTTTGGGGTGAGTGTTGGCGAGCCTGTAGTGGGAGTGAATACATATTGTTCGTATGTAATCCTGGCAGCCGAGCCTTTGATATAGGGTCAAGCATGGCCGGTGGACGAAGGGTCCGGGGTTTAGGACTGGAGTAACCAGTCAGAGCCCACGATGCATGGGATGCCGATTCTTCCCCAGACATGCAGAAGCCTGACAGAAACGGTGACTTCCTGCATGATGGATTTAATCAAAGTGGAAAATTGCGGGGGCGTCGTCAGAGCCGGACCAGTGAAGAAAAGAAATCCCGAAGAGACGATCTCTTTCCAGGGACTCTGTTGGGCAGGCAGGCACCGTGGTGGAGGGAGGGCGTCGTCGGTTCTTGGAGGAAGGGGTGGAAAATGTCGCTTGATGCTTTTCTCTCTACCCGGGGGGGGGGGGGGGGAAGAAGAGGGGGCTGATGATCGCTGTTCTCCGGCTGCTAAAATATACGCCTCGTGGTCCGACTCACTCACCTTGCCCTTGAAGATATATTGCAACACGTTTTTCTTTTACTGTCGATTTTCCCCGCCGACCTTTTCAATCCAGGACAGTGGCGACTGCAACTGCAAGTGAACTAGGCTATTTCCATGCAGTAATTCACTGGGGCCCTTCCCCATCGATCTGATTCCACACCTCCCTACTGCCACTCATCACTAGCAGCAAACAGGCTATCCCTGCCATCTGTTGCATCGAACTTGCTAGTCTTCCTGCGACCGGTTGCCAATGGCTGTTTCTAGCTGACCACGCTACCATCGAATGCCTTGATCGTACTATCGTACTATCAGTCTATCAGTATATCAGATACCCCACAAAGAATCTCTAATCATATCGTCGCTAGCAATGTTTCACACGTTTGAAGGCTTCGAGAATCCCGGACTGTCGAATCCGACCCGGGGGCGCAACCAGCGTCAGCCCTCCGTTGGCCGTCGAGTCACCACCCTTCGGGCTTGCACTTCTTGCCGGCATCGCAAGATCAAATGCGATGGAGAAAAACCATGCGAAGCATGCAGGTGGTACAAGAAGGCCGATCAGTGCCAGTATTCCGATCCTCGTCCGTCGCGCAGGTGTGTTTGACTTTCTTGTCTGGAAGACCACAGAACACAGAATAACCAGCAGTTGCGGATGCAGGCACGTGGAGAAATTGTCGACTACATTGGACGAGTTCCGCGGGGTGCTCGAGAAGCTGTTCCCCGGATTCCCAGCGGAGACCCTGGTGAACTTGCCACGCGAGAAACTATTAGACTTGGTGGGCAAGGGTCCATCGCATGTGCAGACGCAGCCGCCACATCCAGCCTCCCCGGCCACGTCTGCATCGGCCGAGGCCCACACATCCCCGGCTTCTAGTGAGGATGGCAATCTAGAGTCCCTCCAGACCATCCCCGACCACACCCACCCTCTACGCCCTCTGCGCACCCCAGCGTTTCCGAGTGGCATCTCGGATGATGTCAATGCATTGTCCCTGTCGGCGCAGCAGCCATCCTCATACTTAGGTGTGTCTTCAATACATGCGGTGCTCAAGGTCATCGTATGGTTAGACCCTGGATCCCTCACCCACCTTTCACGCACTCCAGCCCATGGTGGTCGGAGAGGATCCATTGACCTCTCTTCTTCTCCAGGCAGCCAGAACTGGCAGGTTCATGGGTTCCAGCCGCGCCTCGCGACGCCGGAGTCTCGACGCGCGTCGGAATCACAATTGCTGGACGCCTACTTCACCTACGTTCAGCCCTTTGTGCCATTGTTAGATGAACAAAGCTTCCGCGAAACCTACCATAGCGGGCGGCGGAGCGATGAACAGTGGCTGGCGTTGCTCAACATTGTCCTTGCCCTAGGCAGCATAGCAGCCGGTCCGGCGCACGACACGTCGCATCAGACTTACTTTCTGAAGTGTAAGGAGCTCGTCAATCTGGAGTGTCTGGGTTCTTCGCAGTTGGAAACCATCCAGACGCTGGGTCTCATGGGTGGCTATTATCTGCATTATACCAGCCAGCCCAACCTCGCATATGCGATCATGGGAGCAGCCTTGCGGATGGCAGCGGCCCTGGGCCTCCACAAAGAGCTCTCCGACAGTCAGAATGGGGGGAGCCGACAAAGACAATCGTCCACGGACCAGAAACGCCGCGTGTGGTGGTCGTTGTTTTGTCTGGATACGTGGGGTGGCATGACCCTCGGGCGACCCAGCATGGGCCGTCTGGGGCCGACCATCACTGTCAAGCTGCCACATTATCGCGAAAAGGTACGGTTGGCGCTACTCCCCAGAAAGGGCGGATAAGTACTGACGGTTGCAGGGGAATGTGCTGGATATTCTACCCCTCCTGGAGAATGTGCGCTTCTGCAAGATCGCCACGCAGATTCAAGAAGTGCTGGCGGCGTCCCCGCTGACCAAGTTCCATGAGATGACGCAATTGGACAGCCAGCTGCTGGAATGGTATGAGAACCTGCCATATATCCTCAAAGACCACGAGCCGTGTTCCGAATCCATCGCGTTCACGCGGACGGTGATGCAGTGGCGGTACTACAACCAGCGCATGCTTCTGTACCGGCCCACCCTCCTCAGCTATGCGATGCGGCGGGTTCCGTACATCGTGCTCCGCTCCGAAGAGCGGCTGGCGATTGAGCGATGTCGCGAGATTGCCGAGATGACGATCCAGGACATCGCGACCAAGGCGCAGGACCACCAAATGTCGGGGTGGAACGCGGTCTGGCTGATCTTCCAGGCAGCCATGGTTCCGCTGCTGGGCTTGTTCTTGAACGACAGCACGGTGGACGACCCTCGCGCGACCGTGGAGGCCTGCCAGGCGCAGGTGGAGACGACCATGCTCGTCCTCGCGCGGCTGCAGTCGTGGAGCCCCACGGCGAAGTCGACGCTGGACGCGGTGTCGCGACTGTTCGAGGCAAGCAAGCGCAACTCGGCCTTGCTCAGTGCGGCCAGCAGCATCGACAGTAGCGGCAGCTGTTCGACCCTCTGCGACGGAGGAATGCCAGGGACAGCAGGCGGGGGCCTATTACCGCCGGGCGAGTTCGGTCGCGGTGGTGTCTTGGTCAGTCTGGAGAATGGGTTTTTGGATCCGTTCGAACCGCCGTTCATCGACGACTCGGCCGGGCAATATTTATGGGATTTCCTGAGCTGGAGCGACAGCACCCTGCTCCAGGGGTTTGCGGAGATCGACAATGGGGGTTCGGGGCTGTTTGTTAGCCCCGAGGAGCGACATGTGAAATACGGTGGAGACCCGATTCTGCTGGGCGGACCGCTGCACGACTCGACGTTCTTTGTGAATCCGACAGCCCCATTCTACTAGGTTTGGGCCTTTCTTGGCAGGGCCGCGTTTCTCTCGTTTTCTTGGTGTTACATACCCCTTCCGCTATTGAGTTTCTGCATGTGGTCTAGTCTGATTTGCTACTTTCTTTGGGAGGCTATTGAGCGCTGGCGGGTAAATGTATAGCTGTATGCATGATGAAAATGAACCTGAATATGAATGTGAACGATACGATGAGCTCTGACAGACATGGAGAGGACGACTGCCAGTGAACGTAGAGGAGAGCTGAAGTCGGGATCTCGGCCCTGTACACCACTGGTGACTGGATGGGGAGGTCTGAGCGAAAGCCACACGTAGCAGGCATCGGAGGGAACGAAAGGCTTGATTTTGATTGTGTGCATGCAGAGCAGAATGTGCAGCAGGATTAGGCTGAAAGTCAACTGGCGGGAGTCGGGCCGAGACCCGCCGAGCAGCAGTCATAAGCAAAACCAACTGGAGGGCAAACGCGGGTTTGTTGCCCGCTGCGGGCACTGCATCATCAACGACATACTCCTTTAGCCACGGAATTGGGTCGGGTCCCTCGTATGCAGTAGTTGGATTGAGCAAGAGAAAGCTGTACAGTACGGAAGGCATCTTGTATACACCCCACCCACTGCACTGCCGCCACCACCACCACCACCACCACTACCACAGGAACTGAACCACCTGTTCTTCTTCCCTTCCCCTGATCAGCTTCACCACCCCACCCCCACCACACAGCACATGTCCACATGATACCACACTCACAATGTCCAACCCAATAACCCCCTCTACCCCCTCCACCCCACCCCCAACGAATACAATCTTCACCCCCCCCAAAATCTACCCCCTCGCCCTCCTCCTCCGCCTAACCCTCCTGCTCTACGGCACCTACCAAGACGCCCACTCCGCCCTCAAATACACCGACATCGACTACCAGGTCTTCACCGACGCGGCGCGCTTCACGGCCGCGGGGGGCAGTCCCTACGACCGCGCCACCTACCGGTACACCCCGCTGCTGGCCGCGCTCCTCCGCCCCACCGTTTGGGAGGGATGGTTCGCCTTCGGCAAGGTCGTGTTTGCGGTGGCGGACGTGGCGGCGGGGTGGCTGCTGGCGCGGACGCTGGTCGTGCACCGCGGGTTGAGCGAGGCCACGGCGCTGCGGTACGCCAGCGTGTGGTTGCTGAATCCGATGGTGGCTAATATCAGTACGCGGGGGAGTTCGGAGGGGGTGTTGGGGTTTTTGACGGCTTTGTTGGTGTATTTGGTGCTGGGGTGCAACCCCGCCCACGGAAGAGGGCGGATGGGCAGGGTGGTGGCCGCCGGCATCGTGCTGGGGGTTGGCGTGCACGTTAAGATCTACCCGTTTGTGTATGGGGGTTCGGTGTTGTTGGTGCTGGACCAGACCCAGCAGAAACAACCACAGATCCAGAACCAGAAGAACCAGAAGCACCACATCCGACTCCACCAGCTCTGCAAGGAAATCACCCCCGCCCGCCTCACCGTCACAACCACCGCCCTCCTCACCTTCCTGGGGCTCAACGCCCTCATGTACCACCACTACGGCTGGCCCTTCCTGCACCACACCTTCCTCCACCACCTCACGCGCGTCGACCACCGCCACAATTTCTCGGTCTATGCGTCTCTGCTGTATGATTCTGCGGCCACCGGCACCACCAGTGCGATCGGGATCGGGGCTCGCATCGCAAGCTGGGCCTTCCTCCCGCAACTCCTCCTCTCCGTGATCATCATCCCCCTCGCCCTGGCCCGCAAGTCCCTACCGGGGACGATGCTCGCGCAGACGTTTGCGTTCGTGGCGTTCAATAAAGTCTGTACGAGTCAGGTATGTCCCCCTTGCCCTTGCCCCTTTTGCTGGACTTTCAAATGGGGGGTGGCGTCGTTCCCCGTCGCGGTTAGACTGTTCTAGGACGGTTGGGCTGTGCGTGCGGTGTGGTGCGGTGCGGTGCGGTGCGGTACTGTGCGGTGCTGAGCTGAGTTGGAAAGCTACCGGATAACTGACTTTCGGCCGGGCTGGGTAGTACTTCCTCTGGTACCTGATCTTCCTGCCGCTGTATCTGCCGGACTCGTCGTTTGTGCGGCGGCCGCGGCTCGGGGTGGCGGCGTTGGGCGCGTGGGTGGTGGCGCAGGTGTGTTATCTCTCTCTCTCTCTCTCTCTCTCTCTCTTTTCCTTCCCCCTTCAAGGGGGCGTGGGTGCATCAGCACCGGTGCTGGTACGCGGGGTTCCCAAGGGTCGTGCTAATTCTGTCCGTGTCCATGGCCACGTGCAGGCGCTCTGGCTGCAGCAAGGGTATAACCTCGAGTTCCTGGGGCGGTCGACCTTCGTGCCGGGGTTGTTCGTGGCGTCGCTGGGTTTCTTCGCGGTGAATGTGTGGATTCTCGGGGTGATTGTGCAGGATGTTGGGGCGTTGGAGGCTGGGGCCGGTGGGGACTGAGCTACGCTAAGGATGGAAGCTGTAGGTATCGTGCGGATGCCACCAGTCGGAGGTCAAGTGGTGATCTTCCATAGACACAAGTTCAGCTAATTCAGTAAAATGTAACATTATACTATCTTGAAATCTCAGCAATTGCTACAAGCAGTCGGTCCTGAAGCGACAGGATCACCCTCCCAAACTACGGCTTGGAAACATCGGCTATCACCTTGTACGTCGACGCATGGATGCTCAACGGCCGCGTGCGGGGATACACGGCCCCCACGATCTGCCGATTGTGTCCGTACTGCGGATAGATCCCATCCGACAGCTCCACGTAGTGCGCCTCGGGCCGCGCCTCGTGCAGCGCCTCCAGGATCCGCTCGCTCCACAGGCCCGTACACTCGCCGTCCACCAGCTGGAAGTACGGGTTCAGCGGCGGACACGCCGAGTCCAGGTCGATGAACCGGATGCGCATGTAGTCCAGCCGCGAGTGGAGCTGCAGGCTGTGCACCGCGCCTAGCACCAGCTTCTCGAACGACCGGATGAAGTTGAGGTTCGTGATCCCCGAGAACTCGTCCAGGAACGCCAGCCCCGGGTGCACGTTCTTCTTCTCCCGGCAGCAGGTCTTGACCACCAGGTCCAGCGACTTCAGCCGGGACTTGGCGGGCCACGCCGCCATGAAGCCGCGCGTCGCCTGGAAGAGCCCGGCGCACACCTTGCCCGTGAACGCCAGGGACTCGAGCCGCGGCGCCGCTTCGCCCAGCAGCCGGCAGAGGTGCGGCGGCGTGATCCCGTCGGGCGTCCACCCGGTCTGCGAGGTGTCCTTGTTGTAGAAGCCCTCCAAACTGATGTTGACATGCACCAACGACGGCGAGAGCCGCGCCAGCACCTCCGCGATGGTCTCGTAGCCCTCGATCTTGGGCTTGGCGTAGGCACAGTGCCACTCGCGCACCCCCGGCAGCGCCTGGGACATGTTGGCCCAGTGTTGGTAGTCGCGCATGATGTTCCACGCCCCCCGCATGACAAAAGTCTGGATGTCCGGCAGCACGGGGAGGCGCCGCAGCCCCGAGTGCCCGCACGGATCGTCCCGGAAATGGCGCACCATCGGCGGCCGCTTGCAATGGCCCCCCTCGAGGGTCAGGATGCGCGCCTGCGGGAAACAGGTCTGCACGTGGGCGAACATCTCTTCCAGGGTGGCATTGTGGCTGGCATAGTGGTATCGATAGTCACTGCCGTGGTTGGTGTCTGAATCGTCCCAGACCATCGCATTCTGCAAGACGGCCGGGTCGGCGAACCCCACGTCTTCGTTGTTGAACCGCCGCGTCGGGAGTTGCTGCGTAAACTGCTTGGTCGCGCGTTTCCCCCAGACCGGGATCCAAATCTCCACATGGCGGACAAAAGGGGCGAGACGGGGGTGCGCCCGGAACCAGCGTGCGCTTGCCGCCAACTCATCTGCGGTGCCCTTGATTTTGACTGTAACCCGATCAGAACGAATCCAAGAACCTGCGAATAAAAGAACAGAAACTGACTATGGCGGTAGATCCGATCCTGCACCAATTCTCTCCACACCCGGGTTATCAGCGATAGATTCGATAGCGCCTTTCGACGGGGATGACGCAACGACCGGTTCCAACTGTGCGCGGACTTGCCCCAGGTGCAAGTGGTGAAGGCGGATGCTCGTTCCCCAAACAGGTAGTCCAGAATCGCCTCATGGATCTCGATGGGCAGATCTTCGAACCGAATTGCGGAATGGCTGGACTGTGGTGGTGTCTCGACGCTTATCGGGGATTTGCTATCAGTACCCTCCATCTCGGTATCCACCGGGCTCTGGGGACAAACGACGAGCCCCACCGCGGCGGAGGGAACGGGTCCCTCGGGAAACTGGATCTCCGCGCTGGTACACCGGTTCGATTTGGCATATGGAAGGGTGGTCGAGACCGACGCTTTGGCCAGCGAGTTGACGGACACGGGACGAGGGGGAGGGAGCGTCGAAATCATGACGGGCGGAGGGAGTGATTGTGCGAGGATTCAGAGAAACAAGGGAAACAAGAAAATGGTAAAAAAAGAAAGCAGCATGAAACACCCGGAGAACGCCAAGCAGGGGAGAGAGAAATCAGTAGTCGTGAAATCGTGAGGCTAATCGAAGCCGGGCGACAGGGAAGAGTCGATCTTAGTCTTTCAATAGTTCTGTGTTTCCAGAGCAGAGGATGAAAGACGAGGGGAGGGACCAAGTTGTGTTTTTTCCCTTTTCCTTCACCAAAGTTGAGTGATCAGGTGGAGGCTGCGGGATTCGTCAGACCAGGGCAAACTGGGTTCTTCGTGTGCGACCGTCAAAAAGGATAAAAATAGCGGGAGCAGATGATGGCTTTTTCCTTTCAGATCGGGGGGAAAACGAAGGCTGTTAAATTGAAGTTGAGGTTGATCGACCAACGTGGTCCATGGCGGTGTTGATGCAGCAAGCAGTGTTGTTCAGTCGATAACCGGCGGTTAGGCCGTCAGGCAGCTGGTGCAAGTAGATAGTAGGTTAGGTTATTTAGATGTTAATCAAGATCGAGGGTATCAGAGAGGTGAACGAAAACGAGCGCAACCAGGCGAGAGGGTATAGAGGAGAAAGACAGGGTGGAATTGGTTCAGGGGTATCGAGTGAAGAAAAAGGGAAACAGAAGACCAGAAGACGAGCAGACGAGCAGAAAAAGAAAAGAGGGGGGAAGGGAATAACTTTAAAAAAGAAAAAAAAAAAAGCAAGAGGAGGAAAACACAGACGGGGGAGAGACAGCAGGAGGGATGGACAAATGATGGGGAGATTTTCCTGGCAGGTTTTCAGGATGGATGGGAAAGTTGAAACCACCCCGAAACTGGCTGGATCTTTCTTTCTTTCCATTACTATCACCATCACCATCACCATCACCATCACCATCACCATCAACAGTAACAACACAAACACCTCCATGTCACACCACTCCGTTTAACTCTCCTGCTCACTTTTCTGCGCCGACTCCTGGAGCTGGATTACTGGCTCATACCATAACCTAGTTCATTCTCGACCGTTTACTGTCTACTTGATTGATTAACTTAACTTATGATGAAATTGTTTACATCATCTCCTCAGGTTCTCCTCCATCGGCCTGTCTGTTTCAGGTAAATCGATCAGCCCGTCTACCCTGACTGAAACCAATGGATGCTATATCGGGATACACCAGATTATCTGCAATCCATATCATTCGCTTTTGGATAGATAACTCAAAGATTGCAATGAGGACCACAGCCAGTGCCAGCACAAAGCGCGCCTAGCGTCCGATCGATTCTCTCTCCCTCTTGAGTCGGATCCATCACCTGAGATCTTCACATCACCGGATGTACATCCAACACATCAACTCAACTTGCTTCACTTGTGCCCAACACTACACTGTACTGTACTGTACTTGCCAAGCGGTGGTGGACAGGATCGATAAGAAGGACCCAAAGTCCCAGTTGGCTTTTCCCCGCAGGGTGGATCTTCTTTCCTTGCACTTTTCCCTTTCCTTTCCTCCCACCCCCACATTTGGCCGCATCTTTAATTTCACACTTCACTTACACTAAACACTAAGCAACCCGAGTTAGATAAATAGATAAGAATTATTCATACTTTGAGTATCAGCGCTAACCCATGCACAAACCGAGACCTGCAATGAAGACCTGCAGGCACGATGAAAGCTATATACACGAAGAATAGAACCACATTTTTCAGCATCATCTTCGGCGACGGAACCGAAATCGAAGCTCATCATCGCTGTCGGATTCCTCACGCTCTTCTCGCGTTCGTTTCTGAGAACGAGGCGCAGCCACCTCCGAGTCTGTGCGCGCTAGGGACTGTGAGCGAGACGCCACCGTACCGCTCGGGGTCATCGTTGGCTCTGGAGGGCTCTCTGCCACGACGGCCTCGGTCGATCGATGACTGTTGCTCACCCAGTAATGATCGCCCACCCCAAATTCCTTCCGGGTGACCTCCTCCAAAGGAACTATGACGGTCTGGATGCGATAGCGCGGCTGACTAGGATCTCCCTTCCGGCGGAACTTTTTGAAGTTTTTGCGCCCGTTCCAGCGATCGTTCCAGCGGCTATCCTCCGCATCGACATTGCGCGGCTTGACGTCCATTTCCTCCACAATAGCAAGTCCTCTGAGCTTCTCGATATCCACCTCTTGCAAGGAGTCCTGGAGAGATGCCTCTTCCGCAACCCGGCGCCGACGCTGGGCATCCTCTTCAGCTTCCCGATGCTGTCGGGCGGCCTCGAGCACATCTAGTTTCTGACGCTTAGGTTTGCGAGGGGATTCCTCCTTGGGTTGGGACGCTTCATCGTCTACAGATTGTCGAATGGTCTCAGTACGTCGACGTTTCATTGCCGCAGCACCTGGCAGTAGACTAGAGACGATATCTTCCTCGTCGTTCAAGCTGTTCTGCTGCCGCGACTCCTGGACAGACGCAGGTTCGATTTCCATCGGAGGAGGAGACATCGCTGAGCTTTCCTCTGGCGCATGAACCGGAATGGAATTGATGTCGAAGCCGTCATCAAATGTCTTCATCTTACTTACATACCCCCGCACACGAGGCCTGGACTTTCGTGCGGGCGGCTGACTTGCTTCCTCCAACGGCTGTGAGTCCGCGACAGGAACTGTCTCGCTGGACACGCTGCCTGGAGGAGGCTGTGGAGAAGGCTCTGCGTTTGCCTCGTCGCTAGCATCGGCCTCCTCAAGGAGAGGTTGACAGAGCGGAGCCGCACTGTTACCCAAAATGGCGTCTAGGAATTCACTCTGCTCAATCACACGCTGCTCGGTCAGCAGGGCAATCTGTTTACTGAGCTCAAGGGACCACTCCTCATGGCGGCCCTTGGCACGGTACCGAACATGCACCACGCCGCCAGGGCTATCTCGCTGACTTCCCAACCCTTTATTCCCCGCAGCGTTCCTCATGAATTGCGCAAATTCTTCAGCTGTAGTCACTCCGTCCTCGATCTGATATAGTAAGACCTTCCCCTGGCCATTGGTCAGGGCATCTTCCAGATTCTCCACCTGTGTGGTATCGCCGAAAACGAAGGTGAACCCCTCGAAAATGCTGAGGCGGGCGGGGTTGGGCGCAAAGGCCTCTTTGGGCCGTTGAGTTGTTTCCTTTCCCGGCGGAGGAAGATGCTCGGCTGGGTCCGGCCATGCCGAGTCGAAGTCAGCCTCAAGAGGGCACAAGGACTCGGGGCTGTCCAGGTCACTGGGAGTCGCAGCATAAACCAGGGCGTCCACGTAGGTATCCTGAACGATGTGCTTGGCATTCACCAAGGCTTGCAAGCCCTTCGCTGTATTCCGTTTGCTCTGAACCACGTGCGTCGTCTTGTCGACTACGTAGGGTATGATCGTCTTAATATCGAGGTCTTCGAGTCGGGAGCGTACGCGTGCGAGAGGGTCTCTGGCTTTGAGCTCTTTGCTCGAGAAGGAGAAACTCAGCACCGTGGGACACCATTTGATCCTATGTCAAAGGGTAGATGTTAGCTGCATTCGGCGATAGGGATAGCGCGCTCATTCTCACCGCAGCATATGCTCATAACGCCCCAGTTTCAGCTCGTGGTTGTGGCCCTCCAACTTCGTACTCCCACTTATCTTCTCACCGTCAAGCTTGGTGCCCAACTTTGATCCCAGATCAGTAACGGTTATCTCTGACTTGGTGTGGAGATGTGCCTACACCCAGTGAGGTCAGCGGGGAAGTTGCCCAGGATCGAACCGCAATACGCACCCCATCGCCCGGCTTGACAAGTGAGACTTCGACCAAGAGATGCTTCCGCGAAATTGTTTTGTTTGCAATGGCGTGTCTTACTATACTCCATGTGTTGGCATGATCAGCATCCAATTCGCAACCTTCTCACAATGGCAAGCATAATCACCTCCATCTTCTCTCGCCCGACCGAACAGATACTTCTTCCCCGGGCGCAACCATACGCGCTTCCCTATTGTGCCAAACAGTTAGCCTTTATCTTGGCCTAAGTGAGGTAAGCAAGACATACCCTCAAGGAAATCGCCCTCAGACTCAAGGATCCACATGGGCAAATGGGTGGAACCAGCTGCTTGCCCGCCAGAAAGAAGGCTAGATAACCGGCTGAAAGAATGACGGCGGCAGCATTGCACGTGAAAACCTCCGCGGGGGAACCCGGAAAACACACACCAACGCGTGATCACGTGCGCAGGCGTCGGCAGTGGCAGCTTTACCCACTTTGGGTAATAATTGCTTCGCGGGGGCCGGCGGAAAACGTCATCATCACCGTAAAACATCCCAGAAGAAAAATGGAGCCTCCGGGCGAGGAGCGTCCCGACAGCAACAACAAGGATGCAAACGATGAATTTGAAACCCTCAAGTATCAACTGCTTGGGCCCTCTTTGACCAAAGCCGGTCAGGATGCCGTGGATCAGCGGAAGGTGAGCATCTCCCGGCTCCTCGCTTTCTGCCCTGCTTCATACTGAGCCGTCTGGTTCGGTTCCAGGTGTCCGAAATCATCTACCACGCCTCCAAGGGCTCCAAGTTCTTCAACCACGAGCAGAACCGCGACAAGGTGCTGACGGCAAAGATCGCGCGCATTCTGCGCGAGAAGGCGCACCTCGAGACGCTCGACCTCTCGGCCGACCTGCGGCGCGCGGACCAGCTGCTCGCGGAGCTGGAGCTGACGCGGGATTTAAGCCAGCACGTCGTGCACGTCGACTGCGACGCCTTCTTCGCGGCGGTTGAGGAGCTGGACCACCCGGAGCTGAAGGTGGTGCCCATGGCCGTCGGCAAGGGCGTGCTGACGACCTGCAACTACGAGGCGCGCAAGTTCGGCGTGCGCAGCGGCATGGCCTCCTTCGTGGCGATGAAGCTCTGCCCGCGGCTGGTCTGCCTGCCCATGAACTACGACAAGTACAGCGCCAAGGCGCGGGAGATCCGCGCCGTCTTCGCCCGCTACGACCCCCTGTTCGAAAGCGCCAGCATCGACGAGGCCTACCTTAACCTGACGGCCTACTGCGCGGAGAACGCGGTGGGCGCGGAGGAGACGGTCGAGCGCATGCGCGCCGAGGTGCTGGCCGAGACCCGGGTCTCGGTCTCGGCGGGCATCGCGGCCAATGCCAAGCTGGCCAAGATCGCCTCAAATCGGAACAAGCCGAATGGCCAGTTCTGCGTGCCAAGCGAAGGAGAGGCGATCATGGAGTTCATGCGGGAGCTGCCGGTGCGGAAGGTGAATGGCGTGGGGCGCGTGTTTGAGCGCGAGCTGGAGGCGATCGGCATCAAGACCTGTGGGGATATCTTCCCGCAGCGGGCGTATTTGGCGCGCTTGTTCGGGGAGAAGGCGGCTTACTTCCTCATGCAGTGCTATCTGGGCCTGGGGAGGACGAAGATCCAGCCCGTGGAGAACTATGAGCGGAAGAGTGTGGGCACGGAGCGCACGTTTCATGAGTTGGGCGGTAAGGAGGAGCTGCGCGCGAAGTTATGGTCGGCGGCGGAGGAGCTGGAGAAGGACCTCGCGCGAACAGAGTTCAAAGGCCGCACCCTGGTGTTGAAGGTCAAGCTGGCTACCTTCGAAGTCCTCTCGCGGCAATGTCAGCCCTCGCGCGCGGTATCTACCGCCAAGGACCTCTATGGCTTCTCCCTGCCGATGCTGGAGAAGCTGGAGAAAGAGATCCCTGACATGAAGCTGCGATTGCTTGGTCTGCGCTGCACCAACCTCGTGAGCACCAAGAAAGTCGGCATCGAGTTTTTCGGCGTCGCCCCCCGGCCGAAACCAGCTGCGGAGCCGTCTCCCGACAACCACCCCGACCAAGAGATCGGCGCGGAAGAAGCGTTTGAAAGGGCTGCGCGTCAGGAGTTGCAAGACGAGATGAACGAGATTGAGCAGCTCAGCCAGGAGGTCTCTGAATCAGCAGATGGCGAAAGCAAGCCTGCTCACAATACAGCCCCGGAGTATTGGGATTGTCCGATCTGCTTGAAACCGCAGGTGGCCGATGATCGGGTCTTCAATGACCATGTGGACTACTGTCTCTCTAAGCAGACCATCAAGGAGGCGGTTCAGGGCGCCACTCAGCATGTCCGCGAAGAAACACCGCCGGCTGCGTCCAAATCACGCAAGCGCAAACCATCCGGACAGGAGTCGCCGGATCCGCGACAGAAGAAACTGTTCTTTTCTTGACTCGTTCAGCGTGCGTATGCTGTAAATGTATCGTGTTGAGCTCATGATGAGGCGCCACGGCACGGGGGTAGATTGTCTTGTCCGAGTTCGACCTTGATTCCCCGGCCGGTCCTTGGGAATTGAATTCGACCTGTTTACGATTGCATTTGGAGTCACCACTTCTTTTTGGAGAGTCATACACTTTAGACAACCACCTATACCCCTTTTGGCTTTTTACATGTACCCGCAACTTTTAATTGGATAAATTATACATTTATTTAGATATTTCTCTCAGAACAGTACAGAGAAAACGGGTGACGGCCGGATATGCGTGCTCATGAGTAGCACCTGTGAGCTGCATGGAACTTGACTCGCAAATATCATCATCTACAATACAACCCATCTCCACACCCAGCACAGGCAATGCTATCTCCCGCAATCAGTCAGAAACACCACTCTTCGTCCACCAGAACTCACACTCCTTCCCACTCCATTCATCATCAACCATCTGCGCCGTCACCCCGACACCCCTACCCCCAGCGCGCTCATCATTCCCTTCCCCGAGCACCATAATCCTCCTCCCAGCTTTCTGGGATCCATCAAACGGCTCCCAGCGCGGTCTGCGCGCAAACCTGCCCTGCACCGCATTCGGATCGCCCCTCACAATAAACGAAGTAATATACGCATGAAACGTCCCCGCCATCTCCTCCTGCGCCGCCGAAACCGCCCTCACCTCCGGATCAAACGTCTCATACGCCATCTGGTCCCCATGGTTCGCCCCGCCTTGCACCGTCTTATTCAAGGCCCACCGGTACAGGAACACGGGCGCCCGCTGCCCGGCGGACGCAAACCGCGCCGTCTGGCGCACGGGACAGGCATACGCGTAGTGGCCGTAGGCGGCCTCGACGCGCTTGTACTGGTCCCCGACGCTGAGATTCCGCGTCTCGACGTACGGGGACGTCGCGTCGACGGCTGGGTCCGGGTAGAGCGCGTCGATGGTCCGGAGGTCGTCCTCCGAAAAGGCGGGGAGTAGGGCGTGGAAGAACGCGGTGAATTCGTCCGATGTGGCCATGGCGGCGGGGACGTAGTACGTGCCCTCGTTGGTGTTGAAGCCCGTTAGGAGCGGGAGGTTCTTGTTCCAGGTGCCGGCGCGCCAGGCGTCGATGGGTCGGTGCTTGATGAGGTCGTGGTCGATGACTGGTTGGAACGCCCACCGCACTGACGGGTTATAGTGGTCGAAGACGGTGAATGAGGCGTTGGTGATGGCCGCGGACGGCGCGGTGCGTAGGCAGGTCAGGATGTCGTGGGAGGCGAGGGAGAGGGAGGGCTCGCAGCCTGCTGCGGTGACGAACTCGCGGAATTGCGTGTCGTGGAGCGCGGCGTTGTAGGGGTGCACGGCGCGGGAGGTCGCGGCGCCGGATTCGATGATCGCGCGGTGGAAGTAGGTGTGCTGCAGGTCGGTGTTCATGATGTGGTGGGCGATCTGGGGTGGTTTAGTCTCGTTTGACTTCACGGAGAGTAAAAGGGGCTGTGGGTCGGTCTTACTGAGTGCGCGCCGGCTGAAAGCCCGATCAGCGTGACTTGGGATGGGTCGCCGCCGAAGCTGGCGATGTTGTCTTGCACCCATTGGAACAGGAGGAGTTGGTCGTGCAGTCCGAGGTTAAGGATGCCTTCGTGCGCGGTGGTGGTCGAGGGGAGGAAGCCGAGGGCACCGATTCTGCATTTGTGTCAGATGCATTGCGTGAGGGCTTAGCTGCGGCGCATGCATTTACCTGTAGTTGAAGCTGACCGCGACAAAGGGCTCGTCGGCCCAACCCACCATGGACGCTGTATTGTGCATCGAGGCTGGTCTGGTCAGTCGCCACCCCTGCATCCCTGGAAGAGTGCCCTACCTGTTCCTCGATTATAAGCGCCCCCGTGGACGTAGACGGCAACAGGGAGCTTGCCCTTGCCCTGCACACCCTGGGGTCGGAAAACATTGGCCGTGAGGCAATCCTCGCTGCTGCCGCTGTCACCGGGGATCTGCAGCAATTGCTTGCCAGGACAGCTGCCGAACCATCAGCCGACGTGCACTGCATTCTCCACTGGAAACATACCGTGGCCCATAACGACTGGCATCGATGAACTCGTCCGAAGCGTTGACAGGGACGGCCCGACGGAACCGGCGATCGCCCACCGGCGGTAGAGCATAGGGAATCCCACGGAACGCGTCGACCGGGTGGTTCAAGGTGTGCGTCAACGTGGTGCCCACAACCGTGCCCTGGGAGATGGCGACGCGGGGTCGATTCAGCAGGATAGCATTGTGGAGCGATGCGGGCAGCCACGAGGCCAGGAGCGTCTGGAGCTGTTGGGTGCTGCTGCTGCTGCTGCTGCTGCTGCTGCTGGATGGCTGTTGCACAAACAGCAGTAGGATCACGGGCAGCGCCGCCAGGAGAAACGGTCTCGCACTCAGCATGGTCGGTCGGATAACGTATGAAGGAGGGAAATTCGGATGCTTGACTGAAATGCCGAACAGCGGTCCTTTTTATTGGGGATTTGGGGAATCTCCTCATCGGCGACCACTTTTGCGTGCCGACAGCGCTATCAATTGCTTTCCCCGCTCCCCTCACTCAATCTTATCTTCGCCTCCATCTGCCGCTTATCTCGGACACTCTCCGAGATATACTTCGTCACGAGCGTTGATCGAATGTTGACTGCTCTTTCACGATGGCAGTTATCGGCCCTCTCTCGTGGAGAACACTGCATTCGGCAGCTCTGTCCGGGTTGACCACGCTTATCAGCTCTGAGTGCAACCGATTTCCACCGACCAAGTCTCGATGGATCAGACGGGTTTATGATGAACATGCCCAGCACCTTATCTCAGAACAATAGAGGGGAAGCTGTCGAGGTCAAGGCCGGTTGCCTTGGGAGTATTTAAGGCACCCCTCAGTTCGCGAGTAATCTTTCAGGAAGCCATCTAGAAAGGTCACACATCCTTCCAAATGGCGGACAACCAACCCCAGAAAACTGTCAAGCACCAGGAAAAGGAGAAGCTCCCTCCTGTAAACGTATCCAAACCCGACGATGTGGAAGTCGGCCAGGTCTCCTCGCTCGACGAAGCCGAGCTCTTCCTCCACGAGCACGGCGTCTCCCACGAACAACTTCAGGCCATGCTCGACGACCCCGTCCGGACGAGGAAATTGAGACGACGCATTGATCTGATCTTGCTCCCGCTCATGTGCGGCACATACTGTCTTCAATACATCGACAAGCAGGTGCGTCTCTCCCACTTGCCCAATGGCGTGATGCTAAGTCTGCACAGGCCTTATCGTACAGTGCGGTGTTTGACTTGTTCACCGATGCCCATATCGACAGTAACCAGTACAGCTGGCTTGCCAGTATCTTCTACTTTGGTATTGTGCTCTCCTTGTCGTATACTTTTGACAAGCTGACGGGCCAGGGTATCTGTTCTGGGAATACCCGGCCAGTTATATTGCACAGCGGCTGCCGATTGGCACCGTTGTGTCGAGTTTTGTGTGAGTGCATTGCTGAGGTACGGAGATGTACACGCTAACGAGGCATAGAATTGCCTGGGGTGCGATTCTCATGATCACCGCGGCCTGCCATAACTTCACGGGGATGGCTGTGTGTCGGTTTTTGCTGGGGTGCTTTGAATGTATGTTCCTCGTCTTGAATACACGCAAACACCGCTGACGTCGCAGCGCCAATCACTCCGTGTTTCATGATGATTGTGGGCATGTGGTATGTTCGTCAAGAGCAGCCCTTCCGCGCAGGGATCTTCTACTGCTGTAACGGGGTGGGGTCGATGGTATGCTGGCCTTTGAGATGTCTACAATTGACCTGAGACTTACTAGCTGGGAAGGTTGGTGGACTCATCACCTACGGCATCGGCCAGATGGACGGCTTTCCCGTCTGGCGCGCTGTATTCCTCATCTGCGGTGGCGCCACCATCCTCTGGGGAATCCTGATGCTGCTCTTTCTCCCGAACAGTATCCTCTCCTCGAAACGCTTCTCCGTGGAAGAAAAGATCATGCTCGTTGGCCGCGGAAAGCAGAACCAGACTGTCCGTCCATCCTGTTTTCATGTCCAGAGCTAGTCGCTAACTGGAGGACCCAGGGTATCCTCAACCGCTCAATCAAGTGGTATCAGATCCGCGAAGCCCTCATCGACCCGCAAGTCTGGCTGTTGTTCCTGTTCACTCTTCTGAATGAGACCGTCAACGGGGGTGTAGCAAACGTACGTCTGTTCACCCCCTGTTTCATAAGCCAACGAGATCAAATACTAAAAAGCCGAGGGAGACAAAACAGTTCGGCAAACTCATCATCCGCGGCCTAGTCTCCAGCTCGCTGCTAACCACGGTCCTGAGCATCCCCCAAGGCGCCTTCCAGGTCTTCTTCATTCTGTCCGGCACATACCTCTCCTCGCGCGTCAAGAACATCCGCACGGTCATCATGGCCGTGTATCTCATCCCGACGGTGATCGGAGTCTGCCTGCTCTGGCAGCTGCCGCGGACGAATCGCTACGGCGTGTTGTTCGGATACTACATCGTGAGTGGCCCGCACCAACCCCGCCCCATTCACAGACAAACCCGCGGAGCACCATGCTGACCACAGTGTAGGTCGGATCCTTCGTGACCTCGCTCGTCCTCGCGCTGCAGATGCCCTCCAGCAACATGGGCGGCTACACCAAGCGCGTCACGGCCACGGCCTTTGTGTTCCTGGCCTACTGCATCGGGAATATCATCGGCCCGCACGCGTTCCTGGCCGACGAGGCGCCCGTGTACGCGACGGGGTGCAAGTTGATCCTGGCGTGTGCGTTGTGTCAGATGGTGATCGCGGGGATGTTGCGGGTGCTGTTGGCGCGGAGGAATCGTCAGCGAGAAGTGGAATCAGGTGCCACTGCTGAAAGGGTAGGAGAGGAAGGAGAGGTGATGGCCGATTTGACGGATTTCGAGGTATGTCCCGCTGCCTGCCTGCTCCTTTGCATGCGTTTGTAATTCTCGTGCTACCCGTTCAAGCTAGCTGACGTGTGTGTGTGTGTATAGAATCCGCAATTTCGCTATGTTTTTTAAAAGTTTCAGGACAGGACCATGACTAGCCAGAAAATCACATCGGCAACCCCCCCATCTCCCTCTCACTCCAATACCGCCTCATATTCTCCGCCCGCAAGGCCTCCACCTCTTCATCGAGGTGCTCAAACAACACCCCCCCAAACCCCTCCAACAACCGCCTCACCTCCCCCCGCTCCAAGTCCAGCTCGCCCCGCCGACACCCCTCCAGATACGCCTCCAACGCATCCATCCCCTTGTGGATCACCTTATGCTGGGAGATGAGACTCAGCTCGCGCCGGAACTCGGGCATCCGGCGCGCCAGCACGGGGAAGATGTGCCGCTCCTCGATGGTGTGGTGCATCGTGAGGTGGTGGCAGAATTCGAGGCCCAGCGTGATGAGGGCTTTGGGGGGCAGTTTTGACTTTTTGGTGGGGTCGCATGCCGTTGTGAGCGCTGCGTAGGTTTGGCGGAAGTGGGTGTGCTGTAGTTTATTAACTGGTGGTTTGTTTTAGGGGGATGGGAGAGGGGGAGGTGTGGTGTGGTGTGGTGTGGTGTGGTGTGGGGGTGGGGGTGGATGATGCGATGTATGGATACATCTTTTGCGTCACGATGTATACATGGCGGTAGTATGCAGCGGGGGCGGGTACAACGGTAACCCGGTAAACCACGGGCAGCGGGGTGAAACCATGATAGCAATTCAGAGACAGATGCAATGCACATTTCCCCCTTCCCGCGACATAAACATGAGATCTGGAGGGGAGAAACATACAAACTGATCCATATGCTCCGCCAACCGATTGTAGACCCGAAACTCCTTAGCGGAGAGCGGCGGGAGGGCTGCCTCCTCCTCCTTCGCTTCCGCTCCCGCAGCAGAATCGGGGGTAGGTTGCGCAGCAGGCGGCATGGTGGCTATCCGTCGATAAGGAGCACACTCCCACTTTCCAGGGGACACGTGGGCGGGGAGTAACTGCAATGGTCTGTGCAAGAAAGCAGAAGCAGGGCGAGCGAGGCAACCGAAAAATATGCGTGTGCGTGTTCGTGCGAGTAGGCGCATGGGGGTTTGTTGCGAAGATTGTCAGCAATGGTAATCAAACGATTGTTGATTATGATTATGATTATGATTTGGATGCGGTTGGATAAGAGAAAAAAAACTACTCAGTACAGAAAGACTTTCGGCAGTTGGAGGCGTCCGTCGAGGACCGGGATTGTGGGGCGGGGGGTGGGGGGGGGGTTAGTTCCGTGGGCTGGGCGGTCTGTGGTGATAAACAAGGACTAACTGGGTGTAACTAGTATCGGACTGGAGTAAGTTGCCGGCAGAATAAGAAAGGGATAGAAGCACCGGAGGCTACTTTAAGACTGACTGCCTTGGCTTTCCTTTTTCCTTGGCAGTAAGTACCCTAAACCCATTTAGATATGGACACAGAACACGAGATGGCAAGCCTGAAAAAGGAGTTCGAAGCATGAACGACAAGTTGGACCAGATCTTGACTTCTATCGTCAAACAATAGTGCAAATATACCCCCTAGACTTAATGGTTCTGACTAGTGCTGTATTATCGCAAAGATCAGGAAGCAGAATTTAGAATAGCATCTCAGCTACAAGGTGGAAAACGAGTTGGAGACAATGATCAATTCAAGAACTACCTATGTTTACAGTATGTTCCAGGTCCTCAATGGATGTTTGCCATCGCAACAGTTAAGTTGCAAGACACACATCTAGTACGTCGCTGGGCGAGAATTTCTCTTTTCAATATCAGCACTTCTTCGGCACAACCACAGTCATGGACAGGCTGGATTGCAATTTGACATCCGTGCTAGTGAACCCTAAAAAAAAAAAAAAAAAAAAACTGTGAGGTCAATGTAAAATGTGTCAGGTCAATGTATTAGATATGGCGGTCATGGCGGCGAAGTAAGGTATAGAACATGAGCCAGCCGCGGTCACTAGTAAGTATCAAGACATGTCGTAACTCCGTAGAAGATGTCGGAACAAGCTACAGTTCCTGGTGGGCGAGCTCGTGGATATTCTCGGGCGGCCGGAAGTTGCCCTTCCTCAGCTCTTGCCATGCGAGATCAAACCGCGCACCCAACATCCAAGCCGTGCCAATCTACAACAGTCAGTAAACAATCATGTGAAAGACCAAGAGGCACATACCATAACAACCGAGACGATGACCACAATTACCAACATGAGGCCCATCATAAAGCACACATCCTGGCGCGTGTCAGCCTCCTCCTCTCTCTTCTTCCGCTCCGCCTCAGTCATCTCGCCGGTGATGCGACGCTTGGCCACCTCAGCCGACTGAGTAGGGAAGATCGTCTCAATCCACTTCTCAATCTGCACGCTGTTAGTACGTGTTCGCTGGAGAACAGGAGAATAAACATACCCGTCCGCAGACCAGACTGATCTTCATGAAGTTGGGATCCTTCGGAGTGTTCTTCTTGTGGATCCGTCGGGCGTAGACACGGAAAGTGTCACTCAGCACCCGCAGGTTCTGGGTGGATTCGAACATGAGCTTGCACGCCTCACCCTTAGTGATCTTGATGTTTCTTTCGAAAATCGCCGGGTTGCGGAAGCACAGCTCCAGGGTGGCAATAGCCATAGCCTGCGGGATGGCACAGAAGTTGAAGATACTCTGCTCCCGGAGACCAGCCAGATAGAACAGGCAGTCTTCCACATGTTTCAATGCGTTCAAGACCATCTCGGAGCCGCAATTAAGCGCTGCCTCACGATGCTCTGGCTTGAACAGATCATCAAAGTCAGTGACGTGCTTCGACCAAATTTCTTTGGGCCAGAAGCGACGCTTATCATCATTGTCCTCTCGGACGTCACGGATGATGTTGGTCTTCTGCAGGAAAAGACCCATTGACTTGTGCAGACGGGTGCGCTCCAAGAGAGCCGGGTTGGCAAACTCGGCTTCGACAAACAGACGCGTCAAGCCTTCTCCCACCAGGCCAGCCACGTACCAGCAGTATTCATCGTACTCGGCCGTGGTCTTGACGCTGGTGTCCTCGAATTCCGCTTTCCGGCAGTAGTCGGCCATGCCGTTGCCCATCTTGTCGGTGATGTCCTTCACGATCGCCTGATAGGCCGGCTTCATGTTCTTGAACTCAGTGATGACGTTGTGAAACTGAACCAGCAGCTCACGGTCCTTCTCCTCGGGGCGGTTGCCGGTGAAGGTCCAGCCATCCTGCTCGAGGAAATCCTTGAAGCCGCGGAGGAGAGGCTCCTTGGTCTCCAGGGGAATCGAGGTGTCATCTTCGATGGTGTCCAAGCCGCGCAGGACCAGATAGAAAATGCAGACCGGCAGCAGCAACTCGGGATGTAACTCCTTGATGACGGCGCTGAAACTGCGACTGGTCAAGTCGAGGAACTTGAAGCAGGCCTTCTGGGTTTCGGTCTCGTCCTTCTCATTGCGTTCGTGAACGGGTGAGTGCCAGACTTTCCTATTACCACGGGCACGGACCCCTTCGTAAGCGTTGGCACAAACACACGACCCATCATCACCGCTCAAGGACGTGAGCCAGTACTAACCATTGCACTATCGACCTCAATTCTGAGGGGTGAAAGGTGTAGTAGAAGATGTTCGAAGCGAGGCCCATTGTGTAAACTGGAAAAACGACGGGGTATTACGACGGGTGAAAAGCCAGATTGACAACGTGAGGTAGGAATTATTATAGGGTCAACGGCAGACGCAGGATAAACAGTAGTGAATCAAGTGACCGAATCAACGGGAACCCAGAAGATTGAAATGACAATCGTGGTACAAGAATGTACAGACAGCTATGAGCCAAACAGCCTCAGTAGCCAAGGGGACGCGGAGAAGATGAGACGGAAGTGGAGGGGAAACACGGGAGGAAGGAGGGAGGCGAAAGGGAAAGTATGGAGAGGAGGATGGAGAGGGAGAGAGAGAGAGAGAGAGACAGAGAGGAGGAGGAAATTAAATTGGGCGTAAAAAAGGGGGTGGGAGGAGGGAGGGAGGGAGTGAGAGAAGAAAGAGAAGAAGAAGAAGAGGAGGAAAAAACAGTGGTGGAAGAAAAGGTGGTGGTGGATGGAGAGGAAGAAGCGAAGAGGAGAAAACCGAACCAAACGAGGCAATTCATTTTTCCCGCGCCGAGAAACCGAGAGAAGAAGCGGTGCAAAGATGCAAACAAGGCCTCTGACTGGCTCCGATGAGCCCCGGCGGGCTGTGACCCGGTATTTACCGCATCCTTTGGTTGAGACTCGGCGGAGAGCGGGTCACCTTGACCCGGTATGACCATACGTGACGGTACCTCTGCGGCAACGGAGACCAAAAAAACATCGATCGCTCCCCCGCCATGACGAAAGGGTCGTCGCAAGGCATCCATCTGCGTTTCTCTTGAAAAAATAGACCAAACCATACATTTGGTTGATCTTCTACCTCCACAGACCTTATCTTGTGTGGTGGCTGTCAACTCCCCTCGCCGCCTCAAGACCCACGGCTGCATCCCTGCCCTCTCCGCTGGCTGTTTTCGCTGCAGCCCAAAACTGATAGCCAAATCATCATCCCTCGCGTGGTCGGGTAAAAGCTTTGCTCCATCCCACCATGGTTGTCGACACTACATACTACGACGCCCTCGGCGTTCCTCCCACTGCGACCGAGCTGGAGATCAAGAAGGCCTACCGGAAGCTGGCTATCGTCACCCATCCTGGTTCGTCCGCGTGTCGTCGTGCAGTTACCCCTCGAGCGAACTGACCCCTTGGCAGATAAGAATCCCGGCGATGAAACTGCACATGCGCGCTTCCAGGCGGTGAGAAAGACCCTCGAGAGATAACCATGCTGATACTAATTCTGCCCGGGTCTGATTAGATTGGAGAAGCCTACCAAGTTCTCAGCGATGAAGAGTTACGCAAACGCTACGACAAGTTTGGCAAGGAGGATGCCGTCCCCGGCGGCGGTTTCGGTAAGTTGACGATGGCACAAGATACGCGGGCAGCACTGACTGTGGTCTTCCAGAGGACCCCGCGGAATTCTTCAGCATGATCTTCGGTGGCAGTGCGTTTGTCGATCTCATCGGTGAGATCTCGCTCATGAAGGACTTGACTGCGACAATGGATATCACCATGCAACAGATGGAGGAGGAAGAATTGGCCGCCTCCGCGGAGGAAAAGCTCAACATCCACGATGAGGAACAAGCCGCTCGCGCCTCTGCCGAGGGTACGACGCCAACCACGTCCGAGTCCCCGGCCGCCGCACCCGAGAAGCCCGCCGCTGAAAAGCCCGCCGCGCCCACCTCGTCCAGCTCCGGTGCTAGCACGCCCCGCCGCTTCATGGGCCAGCAGGCCATCATGGACAAGTCTGAGGAGGAAGCGCGCATGGAGGCAGCCGGTCTGTCTCAGGAAGAGAAGGAGCTGCGCAAGAAGGAGAAGAAGAAGGGACTGTCGAAGGAACAACAGGAGCGGCTGGCAGCCTATGAGTTGGAACGGAAGAAGGCCCGCGAGGAGCGCGTCAACACTCTGGCTACCAAGCTGATTGACAAGATCAGCGTGTGGACGGAGACCGACAAGGGCGCGGACGTCACCCGCGCCTTCGAGGAGAAGATTCGCCTGGAGGTGGAGAACTTGAAGATGGAGTCGTTCGGTCTGGAGATCCTGCACGCGATCGGCGCTACCTACGTGCAGAAGGCCACCTCTTTCCTCAAGTCGCAGAAGTTTCTGGGTATTTCCGGCTTCTTCTCGCGCTTGAAGGACAAGGGCACTCTCGCCAAGGAGACCTGGACGACTATCTCGACCGCCATCGATGCGCAGATGACGATGGAGGAGATGGCCAAGTTGGAGGAGCGCGGTGGAGAGGACTGGACGGACGAGAAGAAGGCTGAGTACGAGAAGAAGGTGACTGGTAAGATCCTGGCGGCCGCCTGGCGTGGCAGCAAGTTCGAGATCCAGAGCGTGTTGCGGGATGTCTGCGACCAGGTGCTCGGCGATAAGCGCGTGAAGCTGGACAAGCGTGTTGAGCGCGCCCACGCTTTGGTGATTGCGGGCAACATTTACTCCAAGGTGGGTTATTTTCTACTTGAACAATGATAAGAAAGCTAATTTGGACTACAGGCCGAACGTGACCCTGAGGAGGAGGGTGACTTTATGGCATTCGAGCAGTTGATGGCCGAGTCAATGACGAAGAAGGGCAAGGATGAGAAGAAGAAGAAGGGCAAGCACGGGCATTTCCACCACCACCATGAGGAGGAGGCCGAGGCCACTGCTGCTTAGTTCTACTTATGCATATGTATTGATTTTGTCCCAGTATAAGGCCGTCTGGCTCCGACGGGATACTTGGTTGGATATGGGATGTTTCTCTGTAGCGACTGGTATTTTGATTTTTCCACGCGCCCCGACGATGTGACCCACTCATACTTAGATGGATTTTAATAGATTGCTTTTGCCTGAAGAAGTAATGTGGTGCTTAGAGTAGGGGTGTTTTGATACACCATGGTCAGATAAGAAAAATAGTGAGACTCGCCTCCCCAACCTCGTTGTGTCTGCAGATTTCCCAGCCTCCCGACATCGGGGCTTTTGCCTGATAAGCTTTTCGTCTGTCTTGCTCCCGCTCCCAGGGACTGGATGATTTTGGTTGGGTTGAGTCCACTGAGTCCACTGAGTCCACCGTCCATCCATCTGCAACTAGTGCCAAGTCTAAATAATTTATCTCCTATCAAGGTCCCCCCCGCACGCGACCAGCTACCGTGTTTGGATTCCTTCTCCCCACTGTTGGTCGCTTAGCTGGAATGTAACCAGTTTCTGCTTCCTTGATACGGCGGAGTTCCGCGTCTTTTGTCCGACATTGACTCCATTGATCGTCACAGTCGTTCTTGCGTCGCCCGCCCGCCCCGTTATGGACTGCGGTATATAACCCTAACTTCCCCCCCGCTTTGCTGCAAGATGACTCCGAGACCTCCCCGGCTGTGTCATCGTACAACCCGCGCCTCACTCTTCATAACCCTCGGCCTGCTCCTCCTGGCTCTGAACCTCATCCCCTCCTCAATGCTGCTCTCCTCCACGCAGGTGATCCTGGCCACCCTGGGCGCCAGCGCGGCCGCCCTCCCCAGCACATCATCCGCCGCCGCATCCTCTGCGCCGACGGGCTCCGCCCTCCCCGCTGGCTTCGACATCACCGCATACTGGGGCAACCTGAGCCCCTACAAAGATGGCCCCGGCTTCAACGTCTCAACCGGCGTCCCGCTGGGCTGCGAACTGTCGCAGGTGCACGTCCTGCACCGCCACGCCCAGCGGTACCCGACGCCGTATGCGCTCGACGGCCTTAGCATGGAGGCCTTTGCGCAGAAGCTTCAGAACTACAGCCTGCAGCATCCCAACGAGACGCTCGGCACCGGCCCGCTAGCTTTTCTCAATGACTGGAAATACCTCATGGGCGAGGACCTCCTGCTGCCCTCCGGCGCGGCCACCGAGGCGACGTCCGGGGCCAACTTCTGGAACAAATACGGCCGGCCGTTGTTCCGCGCCCCCGCAGGTCTCGCGGACTGGGATCCGTCGTTGAATGTGTATCCCAATGGGACGCAGCGGCCCAAGCCGATCTTCCGGACGACGGGACAGGCGCGGATTCTCGAGAGTGCGCGGTGGTGGTTGAGTACGTATTTCTGCTTCGGACCGAAAGCTGCCACCTGAATCCCTGAGGTAGTGTACTAACAGCAACGAACTGAAAAGGCGGATTCTTCAGCAGCACCAACGCCAACAACTCCGCCAGCCAATACGACCTCGTGATCATCCCCGAGACGAGCGGCTACAACAACACCCTAGCAGCGACGTGCCCGGAGGCGCAGTACGAGGGGTGAGTTTAGCCCCAGCCCTACCAAACCCCCCTACCAAACCCCCCATATCCCCATATCACCCCAAAAGTCCCAATCAAAACTAACCCCCAGCCCAGCGACACCTCCGCCGAGGCCTTCCTGAACATCACAACCCCGGCAATCCTGCACCGCCTAACCCCCTACCTGGCCCCCCAACTCGCCGCAACCCTCACCCCCCTCGACATCCTCAGCATGCTGAACCTGTGCCCCTACGAAACCGCCGTCCTCGGCAGCTCGTCCTTCTGCCCCCTTTTCTCAGCGGCAGACTGGGCCACCTACGCCTACGCCCTTGACCTCCAATTCTACGGCGACTACGGCTTCGGCTCGGCCTCGGGGCGCGCCCAGGGCCTCGGCTGGGTCCTCGAGCTCGCCGCGCGCCTCAACAACTCCCTCATCACCACGCAATCCGCCAACATCAACCTCACCTACGACTCTAACCCCGCCACGTTTCCCTTGCATCAGAAACTGTACATGGACATGTCGCACGACGACGTGATCGTCTCCGTGCTGGCCGCGTTGGGAGTCGAGTACTTCAACTTCGGGGCGCATGGATTACCTGGCAACGTGAGTGTGCCGCCACCCAGGAAGTTCAAGTTGAATGAGGTGGCGCCGTTTGGGGCGCATCTTGTTGCGGAGGTGTGGTCGTGTCCTGCGGGCCAGAAGAAGGTGCTGGGGGGCGAGACGTTGTATGTGAATCCGGCGGTGAAGGGGGTGGTGGAGGCGGAGGATTGGGTTAGGTTTGTGCTGAATGGGAAGGCGGTGCCGCTGGAGGGCGTGAGTGGGTGTGAGAGTGATAGTCAAGATGGGTTTTGTTTGGTGGAGGGGTTGCTGGGAGGTGTCGGGGAGATGGTGAGGTTGGCGGAGTATGATCGGGCGTGTTTGGGGAATGGGACTGCTGGGAATGGGCAGGTTGGGGATGGGAGGCCGGAGTAAGTTGGTTTTGCTTGGGGAAGGAGGTGCGTGGTGGTGAGGAGGTTAGAGGTGGAGGGGAGGATTGTTTGGATGGGTCCATGGTTTTAGAAGTGAGACGCATTGGAAGTAGGACTGTGGAACTATGCAAACGATGACAACGTACAAAAAGTAGAATGAAATCCGTTCGATCTCAATTCTATGGATAAAGTCTAAACGCTGGGGTATCTAGTAACATTAACAGTAACAGTACCAGAGCAAGTGGCTGATCAGCCGGCCAACACAAATCAATCTATCGCTATCGCTGGTAACACACACACACACAAAAAGACTAAATGCCAGCTTTAGTCGGGGGTCAACAAACGCTCTCTCCGTATACTGCTGCAATCAAAGCCCGGCTCGAATATTAAGTATTAAGTAGAGGGGGGAAAACGACTTATGCGGGCAGCTCGTCGTCAATGGCTGGACAGCTCTTCGTCGGAGAGCTCCTCGTCTGAAAGCTCCTCTTCTGAAAAATCCTCGTCCGATCGCGGCCCGTCGGATAGATCTTCAGAGGTGCTGGGGCTCGGGAGTGCAGGCACCACGTACTCCGGGTCATGGGGGTCATGCATATCCTCGGGCGCGAGCACCCGACCGCCCAGTTGCACATCGTTCACGTGGACTCGATACTCGAGCGCCCGCTGGCCCTCCTTGATGAGCTCCTCCGTCCACCCCAGGCACCGCTTTAGGCTCTGATTCATCCGTTGGCTGTCGGCGAGAAGCTCCTGGTGTTTGGCCAGGTCGAGCAGGAATCGTTTCTCATCCCGTGTACGATGGCTTCCCTCCGGGTCGACCTGCGAGTCGGCCGGACTGAGCACGCCTGAATCAACCATGGAATCCTCCTCGTCGCTCAAGTCCGACAGTTCCTGCGGCGATGACCGGGTCGACGACCGCTCGCTGGGGGCCTCGTAGACCTCGCTGTGAATGGAGAGCGTGGCAGACACAGATCGCGACGACTGCGCCATGGACAACCGTCCCGAGCGGCTGAGGCGTCGGTATCGTCGGAGTTCCGCGTTCTGCTTGCGCATCTCGCGCTCCAGGGTTCGGTTGATGGCCAGCAGCGACGAATTACTGATTTCCAGATCCAGAATCTTCCGCTCGGTCCGCGCATTCAGCGCCATCCCGTTGGAAGATTGACCACCGCTTTCTGACTTCGACGGGCTCTGCATTCCGGAGCCATGGGTTTCTACCGATGCGATCGATCCATTGCTGAAGACACGGGGACGAAGGCCAGGCAACGGGTCGGTGGCTATAGTGCTGGTGTCGAGCTTGGGCTCGGAGGGAGATATGATCAAAGGGCTGGGGCGGAGGCCTTCTTTGTGGGGGTGAGGCATGGAGAGTGGGGCACCATTGGGGGCACCATTGTTTGCTGAGTCCACGCTGGACGATTTGAGGTGGCGCACGGCGGGGACTGGTCGAGCGGAGACGGTACTCAACGGAGGGCTTTGAGGCTGTACACTGGGTTCTAGGGGCTCTTCCAGTTGTGAGCTGACCTGAGATGCAACGCTGTCGGAAAGGCGGGGATTTGAGTTCACCCGAGCGGGTCGTAGTCGCGGTGAGGGAGAGGCAGGCTTGGACGAAACCACAGAGCGCGAGAGCGATCGACGTTTGTACGAGGTAGGTCCTGCCCCAGTATCACTCATCGGCGCTTGTCGCTCCTCTTGTCCGTTTGCGTAGACGAATGTGGTCGCGGAGGCAGATTTGCCCGCTAGTTTGGGCCGGACCTCGGTCGTCTCGGACGACGAAATCGTGGATCGGGCATCACTGGCGTGGAAAAACATAGGAGATGCAGATGCATTCTCGGAGGATATATGAGGTCGTGCGAGGTGGTTGGGCTCTCCTGCCACTGTTTTGGCTCGGGCAACCTTCGGGGGTTCGAGCATACCTCCCCGGACTGGGCTCCGCTCGGTGCGGAACCGCCCCTGAGGGCCCCCCTGAGCCACGCTGGGTTGTGCCCAGGACACATGTAGTGAACTCGTCCCATTCGAGGAGAGGTTATTCGGCGAAGCAGTCGATCCGTCTCTTCTACTGGCGCGGGAACCGGATCGAGGGGTCACGTTGGCACTGAGGAGGGAGGGTTCCGGCTCCCGCCGACCAGGGGCCGAGGAGGGATGCTCGGAGGGGGTCGACCGGTTAGGGGTGCGATATCCGCCTGGCGTCGCTAGTCGAGGAGTCAAAGGAGATTTAGTCTGGGTGCGATGGAAGGATGCACTGAGGGCGGGGGTTAGGGGTTTGGCGACATGGCCATGGGGTTGTTTATCGGAGGTCATAGTTGCGGCACTCGAGGGGCGGGTGGAAAGGAGGGCGACTTATGGCATTGCGATGCTCCAGGGAGTTCTGAAGCATGATGGCACCAGCCGGCCACGGATCGCAGATTGAAAAGATAGCCGTCGGGGTGAGGCAGAAAAGAAGATGAGAAAATGGATAAGCGAGGCAGAAGGAGAAAAGAATTCGTGTGGGTTGTTTGGGGGGGGGGGGGGGGGAAAGGGGGGGGGGGGTTTTTTTTTTTTTTTTTTTTTTTTTTTTGGGTGGAGTTAGTGGTGGTTTAGTTGCTGCCGAAGGCGAGTTGTTGGCAGCAGCAGCAGTCATAATAATAATTAATGAAGAGTTTAAAGTAGAGTAGAATGTTTTGGCCGAACAAAACAATCACCGCCCAATCCGGCTAGCTTTCCTCCGCCGCCCGCTTTTCGTTTCACCGCCGCTATCATTATCGATTTCGATTCAACCTTCTTTCTCTTCCTTCTGCCTCCTCTCCCTCCAAAGGATAACCCACAGCTAATCGAACATCAGATGAAGCTGCTGATACAAGCGTACCATTACTAGCCGATCTGGACCACACACCAGATCACGGCCCGATGCCTCCCAGCCTCCGCCAACCCCTCGCGCATTGCATGGGCTGATGCAATTGACCCCCGATCGAGCCCGAAGCTTTATCCAGCTTACTCCGTAGTCACTGGGTGGCTACGGCGATCACCCCATATTATCATATCACTGTGGCCGTTGTTATGGACTTCTTCGCCCGGGATCCCCTCATTCCCTCCGTGAGGCTCGCGAGTTGATCCGATCAGATCAGGGACGCAGTTGACCCCGGTTTACCTCTGATCTCACGCGGAATGCCCGATCGGCCCATGTGTAGTGCACGTGATTCCCCTCCCTCCACTCTGGCTGCCACGCAAGGGATGCGACGCCTGCGTCATCTGACACTCCGGATTTCTTGATTCTTGCGCCGAATCTGGGGTGGGAATGCTGTGTGCCAAGCTGATGGAGTTATCTCCTCAAAGGGATAACATAGCCAGCTTAAATGCCAGCTATTGCCAGGACAAACCTCTCCTCGTGGTTGTTAATTGACTTCCTGCGCCCGTAGCGTTGCGCTTGCTTTCGAACGTTCGTTATCGACCTAGATAAGGTGTCTGTCCCTGATTAATTCCCGGTTGGTCCCTGGGGTTCTGGCCAAGATCCGCCTCTGCGCAATGATCTTTGAAGGATAAATTCAGTAGTAGTCGCCCGGTCCCACAGAAATACAAAGTCTATCAGTATAACTGTATAGGCGACAGGCTTCATGCTCATCAAGATGGTTGAGCTTCCAGAGGGGCATGATCTTACCATCTTACCAGTCAAATTCCTGGACATACGACTAAGCAATGCAAGAATACCATTGCATCAGTTCGACTCTTGTGGTTAGACCTAAGCTTACTGTGCCGACTGTCGATTTACTTGTCTATAATCTCACCGTAACTGGTTGCTTGTCGCTTTATTCACGAATCCTCGCAGCATCTCAACTCCCCAGGATTCAGACTGTCATTCATCACCTATTCCTTCTAAGCTAAGACACGATTTCAAGTAGTGGCTGCTGGCAACTAATACAAGGAAAAACATTCTGCCTGCGACTTATCTTGCAGAAGCTCTAGGGCTGGGTGTGCAACAACCGCCGCGGTGTCGGCATCGGAATCGGGTTAGAGCCAAACACTCGATGAAGATATTACCGCTGCAAGATAGCAACTGTGAGTTAGCGTGGCGGGCGTGTTGCACTTCAGAATCCTATGGCGTGCTTATTTTTCTTTTCCTTTCCCTATATTACTTGACAGCGACCATGAACTTGCTTGTCATTTCTGCCTTAAACCTTTCTTGAACCGGGATCTAGGAATTTCCTGCACCAAACATCGAAGTTCAGAAACTGCGGGGACCAAGATGTCAATCGGCAGCACACACTCGAGCGACGATCTTGATGCTTATGCTCAGGAGAATCGGCTTCAGAGTATCCTTCAACGCCAGCTAGACGGATTACCTACCACACCTTCTGCAAATGGCACAATGTTCGACTACGTGGGAAAATTCGACCTGCTCCTGATTGCAATCAGTACTTCGGCGGCCATAGTCGCTGGGGCACTCAACCCCCTACTCACTGTTGTCTACGGTCTTGTGGTTAGGTCTTTCCAGAAGCATGCGAACGGCGCCGATGATGGCGCAAATCTCTCCTCCAATGTGTCGAAGCTCGCGCTGTACAACGTCTATCTTGGGCTGGCCGAGTTCGTCCTCATCTACATCGCAACAGTAGGCTTCTATCATACGGGCGAGCGCATCACCAGAAATTTGCGTCGTGTATACTTGAGGGCGATCATCCGGCAGAATATTGCCTTCTTCGACACGCTGAGTCCCGGGGAGTTCACGGCACGTATCACTTCGGACATGAACATCATTCAGGAAGGCATTACCAGCAAGATTTCAACCTTCTTGACGGCCTTGGCTACTTTTGCCTCGGCGGTTGTGATTGCGTTCTTTGAGTACTGGAAACTAGCTTTGATGCTGATCTCAACTTCCCTTCTAATTGGCGGGGCTGAATTTCTGGGGGCTATGTATGCTCTGAAATTCAGTCGAAGGAGCTCAGCAGCTCTGAATCAAGGAGCCTCCGTCGTAGAGGAAACCACCAGCTCTATCCGACATGTTGCTGCGTATGGGATCCAGAGTGCCATGCGTGAGCGATATTTGAAGCATCTTGACTTGGGCGAGACTTGGGGACTCAAAGCACGATTGTCGGTAACGTTCATGATCGGCACCATGAACTCCGTACCGTATCTCAGCTACGCTTTGGCCTTTTGGCAAGGGTCCCACTACGTTGTCACTGGGGAGATGAGCGGATCAGCCGTGGTGACAACGACTATGGCCATCATTATCGCTTCCTTCGCTGTTGGTAGGGTGGCACCCAGTGCCGAGTCAATGGTCAAAAGTGTAGTACATGCCGGAGTCATTATGAAAGCTATTGCTCGCCAATCTCCCCTTGATCCACTGACCACGGAGGGACGAACTCTATCAGACGTACACGGTGAAGTTGATTTCCATGATATCAGCTTGGTATATCCATCACGGCAGTCTGTGCAGGTTCTCGATCAGGTATCTCTGCACTTCCCAGCTAACAAGACAACGGCTCTAGTCGGAGCATCTGGCTGCGGGAAGAGTAGCATAGTCGGGCTTTTGGAACGGTTCTATGAGCCGACTGGTGGCCATATCAGTGGGTGGCCAAACCATGGGTATTATCATTGAGTTGTCTAATTGATATATAGCATTGGATGGTGTGAACATTGCACACCTCAACCTACGTTGGCTGCGACAGCAAATGTCATATGTTGTGCAGGAGCCGGTTCTGTTCAACAGAAGCATCTTCGACAATATCCTCTTGGGACTGAACGATCCGGATCAACATAGAACCATGCTTGAGGCGAGAGAGCTGGTGCATGCCGCAGCGAAAGTCGCCCATGCCCACGATTTCATCACGGCTTTGCCGCAAGGGTATCACACTGAAGTGGGTACGAAGGGCTTGCAATTGTCTGGCGGTCAACGGCAACGCATTTGTCTTGCAAGAGCGATCATCAGCAATCCCAAGATTCTACTGCTGGATGAGGCGACATCTGCTCTTGACTCGAAGTCCGAGAAGGCAGTTCAGCTGGCTCTGGACTCAGCTGCCAAAGATCGAACAACGATTGTCATTGCTCACAGGTTGTCGACTATAAGAAATGCTGAGAACATCATTGTCATTGATAAGGGAATTGTTCTTGAACAAGGAACACATGAAGATTTAATGGCCCTAAAAGGTGTCTATGCACAACTCGTCGAGGCACAGCAAATTGACAGTGCCACGGAAGGTGAGACAATTGGGCTTCTATCTAGTATTGAAGATGATATATCGAGTGATGGCAAGGCTGGGCCCTTTGAAGTGTCAGAAACAGTCAACTTTGATCACGACAACTATCTCGCCAAGAATCATGGACGACTTCATAACTCCAGACCTTCATTCACAACCTACTTTCGAGTGGTGCGCAAGCTCAACAGAGAAGAGGCTGCAATAGTACTCATTGGACTTCTACTCTGCATTCTTACGGGATTTGTGGTTCCAACGTAAGTACTTACGCATGCTGTCTGAAAAGCGGCTAACATGTAAAAGGCAAGCTGTTTTCTTCGCTGAATCGATCAGTGCTATCACTCTTGACTCAACGAGATATAGCAAGCTTCGCCATGATATCAACTTTTGGTCCTTGCTTTTCGTGATCCTTTCGATCTTTGCCTTCATCACATGGATAAGCCAAGGCATCTGCTTTTCGCGGTCTACAGAACGACTCACACACAAAACCCGAGACCAGACATTCCAGTCCATCATCCGTCAAGACATCGCATTTTTTGACGAAAAGAAGAATTCCCCTGGAGCCCTGACGTCTTTCGTCTCGACCACAGCCACTGACATTACCGGTCTGAGCGGGCCCATCATCGGATCCAGCCTCACCTTCATCGCAGCCCTGGTCATAGGCATCACCGTCTCTCTCATCGCGGGCTGGAAGCTCGCTCTCGTCTGCATGGCCACGATTCCCATAGTGGCAGGATGCGGCTACGTGCGCCTCCGCGTACTCGCACTGTTCGACCAACGGTTCCGCAAAACGCACGAAGAAGCCGCTATCTACGCGACCGAGATCATAACGACGATCCGATCGGTCGCTTCCCTCACTCTTGAGGAGTACTTCCTTGACGAGTACACGGCCATCCTCTCCCGCTCCGCCACTCAGTCCATGCGATCGATCCTCAAAGCGTCGGCACTGTACGCCGCGTCCCATTCATTCACCTTCTTCTGCGGCGCCCTCGCCTTCTGGTACGGCGGCACTCTGCTCGCCAAGGACGAATACACCATCCTCCAATTTTACATCTGCTTCGGCGCTCTGATCTCGGGCGCTCAAATCGCCGGCGCGGTGGTCTCCTACGCGCCCGACATGAGCAAAGCGCTGCACGCGGGCCAAGAAATTGACAGGCTGCTCAACCCGGTCCCGGCAATCAACACTTGCGAGCACGAACCACATCCCATCCCCACAAACCACCACGGCGCCATCGAATTCCAAAACGTCACCTTCCACTACCCCTCCCGGCCCTGGCACCCCGTCCTCCAGAACTTCACCCTCACCATCCAGCCCGGCCAATTCATCGCACTCGTCGGACCCAGCGGCTCTGGCAAAACCACCGTCCTCCAGCTCCTGGAGCGGTTCTACAACCCCACCGCCGGCCAAATCCTGTTAAATGGCGTCAATATCTCGCAGCTGGATGTCGCCAAATACCGCAAGACCTTCTCGCTGGTTAGCCAAGAACCCGTCCTGTACGATGGAACCATCCGCGAGAATCTCCTCCTCTGCGGCGCAGACCCGTCCGACCGCCCTCTCGACGACGAGGCTTTGTTGCAGGTGTGCAAGGAAGCGAATCTCTATGATTTTGTCCTCTCGCTGCCGTACGTTATCCCCGGCCCTATCCAAGCCCCCACCCCAGAGCCCGAAACCTTAGGATACAGATGTTAACACGCAAGGAAAAACAGCTCCGGCCTCGACACCCGCCTCGGCACCGCAGGGACCATGCTCAGCGGCGGCCAGAGACAGCGCCTGGCGCTCGCGCGGGCCCTGCTGCGGGCCGATAGTCCCGTGCTGCTCCTGGACGAGGCGACGTCGGCGCTGGACGGCACGTCGGAGCGCGTGGTCCAGGAGGCGCTGGATCGGGCGGCGGTCCGCAAAACGACGGTGGCGGTCGCGCATCGGCTGCGGACGGTGCAGCGCGCGGATCTGATTGTTGTGATGGAGCGGGGAAGGGTGATCGAGCAGGGGAGTCATGGGGAGTTGATGGCCAGGAGGGGGGTTTATGCGGAGTTGGTAGGGATGCAGCGGTTTGAGGGGGTTTGAATTTCCAGTTTGCTGGGGAGTCGAATTGGATGCGGTGGTGTGTATAAATTACTCTTTTGATGTACATAGGCGTGGTTGATTTGGGGGCAGGGGGGTAAAAGAAAACAAGAAAAGAGGTTACCTCCGACCTCAATACCGTGCATTCAACCAGTTTATGATCTCTAGCTCGCTACCTCACCTCATTATCTTCCACGTAGTTCTAAACTCATGCCCCAACCATACCCATTCTCGAGCGCCTAAAGACAGTGGAATCCCGCATAGCCACTCTCATCCCATCCGTCGCATGGAATATACATGGTCTACGGGATGCTGGGATGTGGCAGCTTAAGGCACCAAAGCCGGAGAGTCGTTACATCTCCCCTCAATAACATGGCCGCAGTGGTGTAGTGGTTCTAGCAGTGCGGAGCCCCCTTGGTCTGGAGCGTGGTGGGAGTGCAGGGTCTGGGCTCGAGGCCTGGCCGCGGCAATGTTCTTGGGGTTCATGTTGCATGGGGAAGGCATCGTGGGGGTGGCATTTGAGGTTGATGGAGGGGTTGGGTGTCGTAGGGTTCGGGGGCTGCGTGGGATTTGCTAGGGCTGGGGAGGTCGGGTGTGTGGCTTCTGCTGTGGATGAGATTGAATTGGTTTATATTCGATGGTAGGGTTTGTGGTGTTTGAGGAGTACCGGAAGGGGGAGGGGGAAGAGGTAGAAGAGAAAGGGAAGTAGAAGCGTAAGAGGAAGAGGAAGAGGAAGAGGAAGAGAGAGGGCAGGAAGGAGGAAGACAGATGAGAGTGAGGAGCGCTGAGTAGGGCATGTCAGCACAGTCGAGTGCTTTGGTGGCCAACTCTTGGAGCTCCCGTCTATATTGTACTTGACTCGCGATTCTTGAATGGTCTTGGACGAAAGTGCGTCCTAAAGGGCAGACAAGAAGAAATTGTATGTACAGAGTACTCAACGAATGTTGGTTTCGTCATAACGTCACCAGAGAGGTACGGCACGCCAGGCGCCTGCACCTGCTCAGCGATACTTGGGCCAACACTGACTACCTGGATCATAAACGCCCGATGGTAGCCACCAGTGGAGACAGAAGCTCAGTAGTATGGACATCCTGTCAGTCAGGCCAAGTCCAGTTGAGCTGCATTCGACGTCTAGAACTACTCCAGGCCGTGTTCAGGATTCATGCCTTGTACCCTTCGTCATCAAGTGCCTATTGGAGAATACCAAGCATGTGGCCGCAGGAACAGCTTACGGCGCCAAGATGATAGACCACCAGTAAGCCCATACCTGAAGCGGAGCGTACTACCTTTGTGCTCTCGAGAGTTTTGAGCTAGGTGGTCTGGTTGTCAACTCGAGAACGATTGCTTCACATAATGAAGACCTTATATATGGGAAAGGAACTTCTAGTATATACCCATCAACGAGGCATCTGTCTCGCCCTGTAAAGTCCGGACTTGGATGTGATGGAGCGGAAATGTGCAACAATGGCAGGCACTTTGCACGATAGGGATATCAGGGCGTACGAGATAACATGGGTAAGCACAGAACATTCTCGAGCATCTGTTGCAGGGCACTAGTCATGATTCGACGAGTAAATTGCGCAAGATGATGACTGCGGAAGCTCACGAGGTCAGAGTTGGAGTGTTGGTCTAATGTCATCCGACTCTTGGTCGTGATCCCTTGCTTCTCAATTGCGACAAGGCCAGGTACGGAAACAGGAATAGCATGTGTTCGAAATCCATGCCAATTCTATTTTGACTCCTAATCGACATCATTAGCTCTCCTGCCATGAGTCGTTCCAATCGGAGCAATGCGGCCTGTTGGAGCTATAAATTAACAACAAGTGACTAGGCAAGTAGCGACATCAAGCACTGCAACGGTACTATAAATTGTGGCACAGGCAGTGAAACGAAGGCTAGTTCGGAGGGGTTCTGGAGTTCATGCAGGTCTTACCATCGCTCAAAATAAATGCCACTAATTTGCATCCTGGTTAAACCGCATACTAGTCCTGCGGGTTAAAAATATCCCTAATTTCGCTGAGTTCGGCGATGCGCTAAGCCCAACCAACAGGTTTTTACCTGCACAAGAGCAACGAACTCCGGACTAAGCAGAATAAGTGTCCCTTTGAGGTGGTATTAATAGGATGATTGTCAGTAAAATCCACCAATCATCTGTCAAAGGAAGGGTTCCAACAGGTTGGTTCTGGTTGCTACACAGCCCTCGGCTGGGATTGACAGCGGCGACGCTCCATGCCAGTGGACCGTTTCAAGTGGGTGTCGAAGTAGCAAACTGTTTCAACCCAACCACGTACCGGTCAAACAACGTGACATCTGCGGACTAAAAAGCCTCACGACCACGCGAGAACAATACTTAAGAACATCATGCACATCGCTTTTGCCCGAGTGAGACATTGGCATTGTTCTCGGCAGTCATGTCGATGGCTTCAGCGGCAAACTACCAAGCAAGCGCCACGTTGACCCCCTGCTCGAGCCTCATCGACAGGGAACTACCCCGCAAAACAGCCGTGGAAGATACAACGACGGAGCAACTGGCATTCGCCCTGTTCGAGGAGAAGGTGCTAAAGAGACTCGAACACGTGGTACGCTTGTACAATGCTGGGAAGCCGCTTTTCCCTCGAGCGCTGCTCGAAGACCTTGACCGGCAGATCGAAGAAGGCAGGGAGGAGATCCGCATCAAAGACTTCGATGATGTGGTAAGCACGTATAGCCGGAGTGTCCCTGCTGCATGCTTGGATCTGGCGTGAGTCTCCGTTCAGATGGGTCGCGGTGTTATCATGGCTGGTCTAATCAGCAACAGAACAACATACTGCATCGGATACAGCAGTATCCAAGTGCTTACCTATATCCACCCTTCCTGTGCAACGATGATGTTCAAAGACCCTCCCCCAGTGTCTATTCTATACACTCATCATCCCGAAGTCGCCGAAGGGAGCATCGAGATGCTTGGTCCGGTGTTTGTCAAGATGCGCGAACGGTGGCAGGCGAGCGAGACATGCCAAGAACTGGTATCCCACCTGACGACCCTGCGCTTCTCCCTTCCCATCCATAAGATTGTGGCGTTCGGCCTTGGGACACTGGGCAAGACGCAGAATGGACGGTTCTCCACCCGTTCACATGTTCAGCATGCGGCAGTGGAAACGATGGCGACCGTTCTGGCCAAAAGTGGGGTCAGTAGAGGAAAGGGGATCAACTGCTACTTTCAAGATCCATGGTACGATGAGAACGACGTCAGGTTCCTTCGCAGCATTGGTTTCCAACCACTGAACGACCCAAAGGGGTTCCTTGAGATTGATGAACATACCTTGGTGTTTTCAGTCAGTCCCAATGTACCTGTGAAGCAGATTGTCGCCGATCTCCAGTGGCCCAGTGCCATGATCTGGAATACGGTATGCGGAGAAGAGGAGAGGAAGCAGCGGAAGAGGCGATTGAGGAATGGCGAAGAGTTCTGGTTGGGGTAAGTTCGTGCCTTGTTGCCTGGAAATCGGTTCAGTTTGTACTGATTGATTGCTGTCGTACAGCCCGCTCGCCACGGATCCCGACTCGGACCGCGTTTGTGAGATGATCACCCAATATCAGAAATTTTCATTGCACGACCCGAAGGATTATTTTGGTGACCTTTCTATCTATGTTCGGCATTGATGTATGTGGCTTGCTGGTACCGATTTGTCTGCCCGTCCCTCTCTCTCAGTGTGTGTGTGCGTTGTATACTTGTCTTGGGCGCGGGGAATATATCTTCGATGTCGCGCATTGCTTTCATGCACACACGTTTGCTAGCACCAATGAAACGTCACTTAGAATATGTGCGTACCTAGTACTTAGATTATATGTGACAGCCTTTGCGATTAGTCTGGTTGGTGTCAGAATTGACCATTCAAGCATTGCGATTGAGAAGTGCGCACAGGCAAGGATGCAGTGATTGATGCCTAAGGCCTGAAATAGCACGCCAAGGCTCGTTGGGTAGAAATTTATCACTGAGCTTGGGTGGTTTCTATTGGACCGGGTAGCGTGCCCCAAATGCTAGGATGCTTTATTTATCCTGTCATTTTATTTGTGCAGTGTGGGAGAGTACGTTTAGCTCTCTGCCAGGAGAGAAAGTAGTCTCGTGATTCAACGAGCTTCAGCCTCCATTGTAGAAGAAACTGTGGGTGAGACAATGATTGGCTATAAATAGGATATATTAAGCTTTTACACAGGTCGATCCCAGGTTGTATGGTTAAGTAAATCGAACAGTCCGTAATCACCGGGCAGGTGACTCCACGGGGCCAGACCACCACCGCTGCTTGTCTGCCATCCGGCGTCAGCCCGATAGGTGGAAGGGTCTGGCAGATCAGGCCTAGCGCCGAGGTCCTGGCTCTCGAACTTATCATCCGAGCTGTTTTCAGATCCTGGCGTCACCTGGATGGATATTGATGGACACAGTCGGCGCAGGTTGTTTCTGATGAAGAGAGCTGGATGCCAGGACGTCGACAGTTCGTCCAGCACAGTAATGCAACTAGCGAGGTGGGTGGCATTGGAGGGGCTCTCGTGATCTTCCAGCAGCGCCACCGCAGCAGAGAGCGTGCAATGCATGGCAGAAATCGGACTGCGGTGAAAGCTCTGGAAAGCACGGCGGTATTTCTGAGCTGTAAGACACATCGCCTTGGCGGACTCGCGCCAGACAGCTTTGGCCACGGTCATGAGTTCGCTCGACCCTGCTGCGCGCTGATGCTCGGCCGAGTGGACTATAAAAGGCCGGGTGAGGAGGATTCGTGCGGTATGGTATAACATATGTAACGTGTAGATGTGGGGGACATCATTGAAGCGGTCGATTCGAAGCTCCTGTGGTAGGTCGTAAAACCATGTCCGCAGGTCCAAGAGGCAACTTCGTAGGAGGTTCAGTCGTTCCGGTGGTTTCGTCAGATGCTTCGGAGCCCATCTGTTCTTGTCAGTAAACACGCCAGCATATTGATGGTAATAGAACGTACAGTGATACGAGTATTCTTTCTTTTATCCGGCACAAAGCTATCATGGCTCTCAGTAGAGGTATTCGTGCCCTTTGGATGTTTTCCGGTGTGCGGCCATCAGTATGGTAATCTTCATCCATTACTGACGGCAGCTCAACTGCTCCTTGTTGATCCTGTATAGAGTCAGTGAGGGTGTCAATTGTGCTTTCGTGAGTACACGTACGAGCATCGAGCAGGCCCGACCCGTATACGTGGAAGACATCTTATCATGACAGTACAGCGTCCAATAAACTTGTCGTCTGAGTCGAAGTTCTCGGGCAGTCATTTGTACTGTCTCTTCAAAGACCGCGGGATCCATATTTAGCCCGATATCAAGGCTCAATCGATTGGCCATTCCGTGATGCAGCCATCCAGCTGCATCCAAGCCTATGGCCTTGGAGGGGAAATTAGCATGGATTATAGCTAGGAGTCGAGAGACGTACGACGTAGACCATTCCGATGACGCCCAGAGCTTGAATCGTCAAGAATGTCGGATGCTCCATCTCCTGATATAGAAGGGTCTTGGCCTTTTCAAAAAAAGGTAATCCGGCTGTATTAGAGTCGCTAGGATTACTCCGAACTTCTGGATTATCTGAATAACGGGATCCAAGCGCAAGGATGGAGTAATGGAGGAGCAAACTCCAATACGGGCCCTGCTTCTCCATACTTTCGCGAAAGAGAGTTTCGTCGACGATGGGGTACCACGGTTGCTCCCAAGCAAAGTAGAGATCAATGAGCTCGTCCTGGAGCGCTTTCGAAATGCCTATTTCCTCAAAGGCAGGGTCCACAAGGGGGAAATTGAGATACTCATCGATGCTCTGCAGGACGGGCTCTAGCTCAGGAACAAAGTAGGCGTTCAACAGTTCCTCTTTCTCCTCCGGCCCCGGGGATTTGAACTTGAGCCGTCCGCTGGTAGGTCCAAAGTACCTCATCTCCCCGTCCTGGTCGAAGTTCATGGACTCATCTAAGGACAAACGGCCTTTAAGGTAATCACATAATTCCTCTATTGATGCACTCTTCATGTTGAACATCTGAAGATTATCCCGCTCATGAGGAGATCCCGCATCAATGGCTTCTGAGGCATGGCTCATCCGAGGATCAATGCCATGACTTTCCAGTTGCTTCTCGAGAAATGCGATCCGCTGCCGCAGAAGAAGCACGTAGGACTTTGGCGCAGGCCGACGGCCATCTTCTGTACCAGAGTATTGACATTGCGCATCATACTGAGCACATCTCGAACAGCGAGGTTTCTTTCCATCACACTTGTGGCATGTTAGTAAGCAGGCGCTTGATCGAAGGGCGCACCCGAAAGAAAGAGGCTATACCTTCGCTTTTCGTTGTCGACATTCCTCACACGCCTTGCTTGTGTAACGCCCTCTCGGTCTAGAGGCGGATTTCCCTTTGAGGGGAGAATCTGTGGATGACATGCTGATAGTTCATGGTTGGAAGAACGAATGGACAAAATGATGAAGCATGCCGCAGTTCGAAGTATTGGGCAGATTTGTCAGCGGCAGCGTCATTGCGGTGCTTGTCTTGGCACGCCGAATCCGGCTAGTCTGCTTCGCTTCCCTCCGATTGCGAAACTCGCAGCTTCCTTGTGAGGACCTCAACCTACTCAGACTTTTACCGCAGACTATCTTATCACCAGACTCAATCAATTGCTCTATGACCTTGATATTAACAATAGCCCTGTATATCTGCGCCTCGCAATGCACGGATAACAAAAGGGAAAAAAGTGAATCCACCAAACACTGAGAGCCACAAGTTTCCGATCCCGATCCAACTCGGCCCATAATTCAATACCGCGCCCCCACAGCTTCTCCGGTGGCTAGTGCTACGGCGACGACAGTGTCCGAAGCATGGCTGATTGTCACTTCGATGTTACTGATACCTTTGGATGCTGCCACAGCATGAACATTGCCATGAAGCTGGTAGGTGTCAGTATCACTTAGCATTGAACAGGAGAGAAAAAACTCACAGTCACACTCAGAATTCCATCGGTATTAACAATCTCAATCTCATTCATTGAAGCTCCTGCACCTCTGGACGGCGTTTGCAGACTCTTGAAGACAGCCTCTTTAGCACTCCAACGACCTGCGTAAGAGGCACGGGGACTGGGGGCCTTTCGGCAGTACTCGCGTTCTCTCCATGTGAAATTTCGCTCAATGAAGTTCTCGTTTTCGATGTTGATACTCGTGATCTCTTCGACGTCGACCCCGACGGTGACGGATGAAGCCGGCTTAGAACGTCGGGTTACATCTTCAACCATTGATTGGACGATTGCAGATAACGTATTTGACTTATCGGCTGTTGAAATTATCTCTGCATTGGTTCTCTGGAAGACAAAAGCATCTTGAGTCGATGCGCTGTCAACGAACCGAGACTGATCTTTGGCGAGGCGACTGTCCTGATTGAGAAACACATCACGCATATTATCGGTATCTTTCCACGGAGCACTGGCTTTGATCTGAACTAGTGTATTCTTAAGCAACCGTGAGATGTATTCTCTACTTGCTGCTCGCTGTCGCCTGTCTACCTCGGTACGGTATTTCTCGAAGGCCTCGGTTGGCACAGATGCAAACAGATACTTCGGGGCGACCATAACGTTGATGGCACCTTTCTGACCAAAGCCAAACGACGTGAGCATAGTCGCCTTGACCTCAGGAAGCGGCAATGATTCCATGGGGTACAATAGATGCTCGAAACTTCGCAGTTGCTCATCGATGTTGTCGGCATTGCGATTGCCGGGAACAACCCCATCGCGGAATATTTGCATACAGCCATGCAGTTGCCAGGCGCCGGCTGCTGCCTTCGGATGGCCTGTTAGTGACTTTTGGCACACGCAGAGCAGTGGGTTGCCTTTGCGTCGACCCAGTGATGCATCTGCGTGTTGATCACGTCCCCCTCGTTGACCTCATTGGCCTTTGTTGACGTCCCGTGCATTGACACAACCCCAATGTCGTCAACAGTCAGGCCCCATGTAGCCAAAGCGGCTCGCACGGGTGAGATTGAAGAGTCCTGTAGGCGAATATTGTTCGCCCATCGCTGCTGCGTATCCCGGATTCTTAGGTTCACGAGTTGTTCCGTGCGGGTATCCTCAGGCCGTGACTCTACACTCTTGCTTAACGAGTACTCCCTTGTAGGCTTTTGACTTAGATGATGCTGCTGGATACAAGCCACCTCTCTATCGAAATTTGAGCGCCGGAATCTGAAGTCGAGTAAGGGTGAGCTTTGCGCTCCTATCCCCTCGCGTGCCGCAGTGAGAATCCCCTTACCCGGTGCCGGTATTGATCGACCGATCTGATCACTTGCGAGTTGGTTGTAGGCGACCACACCATAGATTGGCAACCCCATGTCGAGCGCGACATCAGCACTGGCAAGTATCTGGACACCGCACCCTGCAGACTCAGCAAAGCCACTGCGTGAACTTGCCGTTGGGCGCGAAATCTCGTTTGGCAAACGGTCTTTGGCAAGCTCTTCGGCACTGTTGGCCGTAGCTTTGATGCTTGCGAATTCGTATGCTACCTCTTCGCCATAATCATCACATCCGCCAACCAGAGCCATCCTGCATTTCCCGGTCATTATCGCTTCACAACCCGAGTCCAAGGATTCAATGGCGGTGGCACACGCTCCAACCGGAGTTTTCAGAGGCCCCGTTGAAGATAACAACAACATATTGATCCATGCACCCATAGTGTTGGCAAAATGATCTAGAATGATGTCGCCTCGTATTGGACGATCAAGATATCGGTCTCGATACATGGATTGAATGGTCTTACCAGGGCCGCCACCAGTACCAAGGCAATTAGTTAGTTCCGATGGATGGATGTGTTGGTAGATTTCATATGGATCCTGGATTCCGGCGGATAGAAACGCCTCAGAAACGCAACACAAGGCATACAAAGTCGTTCGATCCACCTGCTGCACAATGTCATCTGGGATTCCGTACCGTGAAGGGTCCCAGCCCTTGGGAACTCTTCCTCCAACGGTCTGGTCGAACGGAATAGTTTTTGGGATCATCAAGGTTGCGCCTTTTTTGAGAAATACCCGATAATCTTCGGATCCTGTTATAGGCTGAATAGAGACTTTCTCACCATGCCGGAGCTTAAAGGCCTCCGCTGCTGACTTTGAGCTCTCGAATGGTGGCAGGTCGTCTTCAATCACCACTTCTTGGATGAACTCTTTTCGCGATGGATCGTAACTGTCCAATTCGCTGGGCTCAATTAATCTCAGCCCAGTGCCCTTCGAAATAGATTCACCGTATTTCGTTGAAATGTGTTCATCCTCGACGGGCTCACCAGTCTCTGCATCGACCCAGCCAACATACGGCTGGCCTTTGAGATCACCATCAACATGTTTTATCAGTCCCATTATCCAAGCCATCTCGATGTATCCCTCGAGGGAGAAATGACCCTGGGATTCCATCTCCCACCTTGTGTGAGCATTCCCCCACGGCCCCAATTCTGAGAATCCAACCACCACCACAGTCCGTGAGAGGTCTACCATACCGACGAGATAGGGAAGCCCAGAGGTCATGTCGAGATGGTTCCTCAGAGGAGGAAATCCAATTTTTAGGTTAGCACGTTTCCTCTGGACGAGTGGTTCCCTTCGCTGATTGCGAGGGTGTTGGCCATGGAGGGCAACTTGGTGGTGCATGTCCTCTCGTGTCAAAGCACTTCGGAGTTGCTGCTCACCATCTAACTTTTTCCGACAGGATGCTATCTGCTCTTTGACATTCCACATGGATCCTATTCCACCAGTCAGGTCGGCATAAATTGGTGCCTCTTCCGCAAGAGTGGTTACATTGGGCGTTAACAATGCTAGAATATTTAACGCCATTTCAGATTGTGTGAAAGTGATCACGCCGATTCTCTCCATCTCAGCCGACAATGCATTAGATGAGCGCATCAAGCCAGTGCCTCGAGTCCATCCGATGACTGCTCCACAGACACTGACGTAAGTTGACCATGTCTCAGAGTGAAAGCGGTTGAAGAGAGTTTTCAAGCCGATCTTGGACTCGGCGTACAAACCATCCCCTCCAAAGGTGCCTTCATTACAGGACATGGGTAGTATCACCGTGGTTGGCCTGGTTTCAATTCGTCGCTTTTCTTTCTCGCGGCGTACAAAGCCAATGAGTCTCAGAATGTTCACCAGCATTGCTCTGAGTGCAACCTCTTGTCGATTACCCAAAGAGTCTAACTCTCCTGTCTGCGGAATCGCTGCAAATGGGATAATGTAATCCAGATCACCGCCTACCGGAGAGTCCGAGCCATAGATGTACTGAACCAGTGCCTCGCAGTCCTTTTTGCTGGCTTGATTGAAGGATAACAGGGTCAATGATGCTCCTCTAGATCCATGCTTTCTGAAAAGACTCTGAAAGAAAGTCGCGCTGCTGGAAACCGCGCGGCTTGTGGTAACGATGACCCTGGCGCCTCCAGCCAATAGTCCTTGGACTACATGCGCACCAATCGAGTCAGGTCCAGCCCCCGTTACGAGCACTGATTTGTTTGCATATGTGAAACCGGCTGTAACACCTGCATCGAGAGCTGTATGAAAGATCTCTGTTGCTGCGGGGTCATACAACCAGTCTTCCTCGTCTCGCCGTTTTCTCAAGTGCACGAATGGGATCGCAGTCAGACCAACTGCGGTCGACGTCCGCCCTTGACGCACGACATCAGGGTAGTTGCGAATATTTCGAGGTACTTCATCGTACTCTCGTTGTCCAGACGCTGAGATCAGTGTCCTAGGGCCCATAGGTGGCTGAGTGTGAATGAAAACAGGATCTGCCATTTGCGAGCGTGCACCAAGGCGCAATATCTCATGTAATATCGAGAGACTTTTACTGATCTGTGGTCTCGTCGATATTATCACCTGTCCTGACAGTGATGCTCCCAAATGAGCTTTTACAATTTCAACGCAGCTTGGCTCCCAACGATTAAAAATGCGACGAAGTCGATCATCCACGCTCAGTAACGTCGCATCGACATGGCTGCTTGAAACTTCATTTAACCACCGGAAGAGGTCTTCTCTAACCCAATTCCACCAGGACTCATACTGCCGTGCCTTGTTGAGGTCAAACATCGGCTTGACAGAATCCAGAAAATGTTCGTCCAACTCGGCATTCCATTGCTGAAGCTGATTTTCCATGGCCTGTAAGCAGTTCGATAGCTGGATCGAGTCGACGTCTAATATCTGCTCATCTGGCTGAAGGTATGATGCTAGAGCCTTATACTGCTTTCGATAAAGCTCCTTGTGCTCGCTTTTGAGAGACTCGAAGTCCGCCGAGCTCATCATCGTGGCTGATGACGAGTTATGAACAGCACCACCCTGCCCCCCTGTAACAGCGAATGCAATGCCTTCCCACGCAGCGTAGTGTTCGACAAGACCATTCAGGTACGAACGAACCTGATCCGCACTCGCAAGCCGAGACGC